ATCTTTTTGCATGGCAGCTGGTGTTTTCTGATGGGAGTGTTTAAGTGTGTAGCATGTGTGCTGCATGCTTTCCTGCAGTTCGTTTCAGGAACAAAACAAGATGGCTGCTTTGCAAAAGCTTGGGACAAACATTCACACACACCGAAATGATTTTAACGATAAAAAAACAAATGTTCTGTCCCAGCGCTACAGCAACACATTAACACACTTCAACCTCACAGTCTGAGATCTGATCATGTAGATTTTACTTCATGTTTGAAGGTCTGTTTTTCTTATTTTAGTGAAAATATAATGAATTCAGCGTAAATGGCCACATTTTACTTCATGACTTTTAGCTTTTAAATTGCCATTGTACTAAAACCAAATAACTTGATGCTAATTCCCATTACTGTATGTCTTTTCTGTAATTATCGTACAGAAAATATTTTTCATTTAAGGAAGCTGTTTTTTTAACAAACCAGGTGAAGGAAGTGAAACAAAATCCATACATTTATTTAAAATTCCCGTTTTGCATGTTTTTATTCTTCCATTGTGATTTTTGCTGCTCCTAAGAACAGCCCAGGCGCTAAACAGTAGATTGTTTATTGGTGTCTGGAAAACGAGTTTCAAAAATCTGCCGATTGTTACGTCGCTTTCTCTTCACCGTTACCTAGCAACCCAAGCAGAGTTCCAGCAAGTTTGCTCAGCTGGTTTCACTGCTGACTTACCATCCAGAAACCGCTTGCTGCATTCTTGTTGGTTGTGCAGGAGGCTCCATTTCTGCTTTTCAAACATGTACGTTTGTATAATTCTGTATCTGTTTGCAACGTTGAGTTGGGAGGAGTGGCCAGCAGCAACTTATTTGGATTTAAAGTGACAGGTTGCCCTAAAACAGCTCATTCTGAAAGGAACTCAAAGCTAAAATCTCATTATCTAAGAAGGATTTTGTGCAAAAGAATGTGATTAACATGTTTTGTTTAGACCATAGACCTATTCAAACATGTTCAAGGAAGCACAGTAAGTCACGTTTAAGTGTGATTTGTTTTTAAATCGATGTAAAGCGTCTAGTCAAAGGTTGCTTCAGGTTCCTAGCATCAGTCGATGTGATTTGAAGAGATTCCAAATCCTCATTCAGCCCCATTTCACCTGCGTTAGTTTCTGTTCTCAGATGGGACGAAGCTCCTCTCAGGGATTAATCACAGCAGTTATTTTCACATTGTTTGAATTTCCAAAGAGAATGAAAGAGCTGATGTTGTTAATTTAAAATCTTAGCCGAGGTAATTTGAATTTCTGGAAATCTTCCATCCTCTCGGCCATTAATGCAAAGAAAAATCACTTAATCATCTCTTATCGTCCTCCCTCCTCTCTTCTAGCTTCCTGCAATGTTCATTTATCATCCTCTAATTTCTTTTCCACATTACTCCGTCCCTTTTCCTGCCTCTTTCCTTATATTTCCTCTATTTTACTCTTTTCTGCACAACTTGTCGTTTAAATTTCGTTGTCTTGTGAAAAGAAATCTGCTAAACTAATTTAATATATTTATTATCTGGCGGTTTAAACGGCGCTCTAGAGCTTCAGATTGATTCATTATGCTGAAGTCAGCAGGGAAGGGATTTGCTTCCTTGAACATGAAAAATAGCAAAAACTTTTATGTCACTGAGGGATTCTGGGACTGTTTGTTTTCGAAGTAGCCAATTAAGGAAGCAGGAACGCCTAAAGTAGGTGTTTGTTTTTAGCTCTTAACCTAATTAGATGAAACTTTGGGGAACATGTTTTCACCCCAGAGACACTTGGAAAATTAAAACTGCAGCTTCTTGTCGTCACATGGATAAAAATACCGTCAGGGATCAACGTTTGTCTCAAAGTAAAACAGGAGGAAAGAAAATTCACATAATTCTAATGAATCAGTTATAGATGGTGGAATAAAACAGTGAAAAAGCACTTTCCCCATTACAGATTTCTTCTTTTATCACTTTTCGTCATATTTACATGATTAAAATTTGGATTTCAAACCTGAAATTATGTGAAGAGTTCATGCCTGACGCGTCGTTGTGAAACCAGTGAAGCGTTTCAGAAAAAAGAGCATTTTTAAGCACGGTAGTGGCAGTGTGATGGATGAGCCTGGAAGAGGCTGAATTAAAACGGTTCTGTAAAGAGGAGGGACAAAATTGCTCCACAGATGTAAATCACATCTGTGATGTTGTTGTCACAAACACTTGATGGTGGCAGATATTAAATTAAATATTAAATAAAAATTAACTTATTTTTTCCTTCTTAAATAATAAAGTTATTATGAAAAACATTGGTTTGTGTTCACTCAGCTTCTGATATCTGGTGCCATTTGCAGCCCATGTATCATCCTATGCTGCCCCCTGGTGGACTCAGCTGTGCACTGCGTGCTCACCATCTTCAGGGCTGAAACGATTAATCGTGATTAATCGTGATGAATCGATTATTGAGGTCATCGTCAATTAATTTTCTTATCAATCATTAACTGGAGTATAAAGACTAGAAAAAGATGATTTCCTGAAATAACATTCTGAGCAGAAATTAACTTTACAAAACAATAAATACATTTTGCATTTAAGATTACAAAAGAATTATCTAAATATGTTCAACCCACCTTCACCTGGTTCAAACTCTGTAAAAATAAAGAAATATTCATAATAATCAATAGATCAGCCCAGCAAATTTTCACATGTTGAGCATTTTAGCAATTAATTCATTATCTGCTACAAATACTAAGAGTTTCTAAAATTACACTTTATTGTCGTATTTTAGGCAACAAAATGTTTTTTTAATTAAAAATGTATTTGCTTATTTGCATTTTCTTGCGTATGTCTAATTTTGCAGAAATTGTCAAATGTAAAATCTGCAGAAAGCATTGATTATTCGCCAGAATAATCGATCAATAAACTAATGGTGATCTGGTTAAAGTGTTGCTGTTTGGTGCTGAGAGACGTCAGTGTAGTCTGAGAAATCCTAACAGGAAACACAGATCATTAAATCCAAAGTTTTATTCAGATCCAATTAGACACGAAAAGCGTTTTTACTGAATGAAACTCTGGACTCTCCGTTTGGCTGCGGCCCGGTTTGTGATTTAACTCTGACTTCCTGTCTGACTTTGTGTGCGACTCCTGAAGCCCTCCTGAGACGAAGGACTCGCCCATCGACCCGGCCGACGCCCAGCGCCAGGAGTGGTTCGCCCAGTACTTTTCCTTTTGACTGACCAGAACTTCTAAAAGGATTCAGCATGTCAACCAAACTTAAAGAGATAAAAAAAACAAAAACAAAGACGCATTAGAGAAAACAAAAACAAAAAAAGAGAAAAATGTTGAAACTATTTGTTATTTATTGTCATCTTGGGGTTTTGGGGGTCAGTTCACCTCAGATTCAGTCGGCTGCAGTTGGAGAATCGGTGAAACGCACAGAACTTGATGTCATTAATTCCCATTTTGGCAGAGCAGTTGGAACGAGCGTGAACTGAGCCCGGCCCGATCATCACGCCGACCTGATTTGATTGGCTCACTGTGGACGAGTTTCTCTCTTAGTACAGTGGCGATAATCATCCGTACGTTCGATGTTTATTTGGTTCTGTTTCTTTCTGATTTCTGTTGCGGTTTCGTTGAGCTAGGAAACACCGAGTGGTGCGTCATCATGCTGCTAAATGCCATAGTTGGGTTAAAGTGAGAATAAATATATATAAAGAAATAAATGGTAGGTTATTGTGCTCTCTCTCTCGCTCTCTCTCTGTCTGTATGTGGGTTTACTGCACACAGCATCTTAGACTAGGAGGGCTGATCCAGGACCAGTTCCCCTCCTCATTTCTGGTGACATTCACCTGATCCTAGATCAGTTACCATTGACAGCAGGCTCGGACTTTAGGACGGTTTGTTACAGCTGCGTAGACGTTTCAGCAGATTTTGGTAGAATATTAAAACCTGTTTGTATGGTTGTCTGTCTCAACACAGATATAATGATGTCTCACCGATTTTAAAAACAAAAATAGCATTTTATATTTATAATATAATGTGTATGCTTAATAAAGATTATTGTGACATTTAGCTGCACTTGCCTGTCATTTGTCTGTCTGAATTTTTGAATTAAAGTTTAGTTTTGTCTTTTTTTGTTAAGGATCTCCAGTAGCAGTCAGTCTTGCAACAGATCTGAAGATGCCTCTGTTAAAACACTGTTGCTGTTTGAAAAAGATGTTTTTTCCAGCTGCACAGCGTCTAAAACCGTCCAAACATTCAAAGATTCAACCAGTAAGTTTTGAATAAAAGGCGACAGAACAGAATATAACATAACATGAGCAGCGCAGCTCTAGGATTTCATTTTATAATTAATAGATTAATTATAACATGTTGTTTTTGACCATTTAGGCTACAGCGAATAATTATTGCAGTGCTCCACATTCCTCAATATAACAAGATAGTTTTTCATTAATGATTAATATTATTTCAGTGATTCATTCTTTAGCTCGAAGAGATAAAAGGTTGTTTTTTTTAACAAATTTTATAATATTCTATAAAGTACTGCAATAATAATGATAATCAGTTACTTTATTGAATATAACTGCCTTAAACTCTGAATTATCCAATAACTCATGTGAAAATGTATTTGAATTACTAGTGGAAAACTAACTAAATATCAAAATTAGTAGTACAAGTAACAGAAATGTATTTAAAATTCATAGTTCAAATAGTTATTTGTTGTTCACTAGTTAACTATTAAAAGCATTTTTCTATTTAAAATGTTCAATTTTTATTTTATTTTTTGGTCTTTTTATTTAGGCCACAGTTTACCTGAAGCGTAAAACAATACAAAACTCTTCATTAAATATTACCATTTTTAATTCTTTGATATACAGGCAGTAAAAAATAAAATTACTTTTTATTCATGATTATTAGACATTTTTTATCTTTTCAAGTCCATACTTATCTAATTATTAAAGTAACGGTATAAAAACGAACCGCTAGGGGGCGGTATTGAAGTACGTCCTGGTGACGTCAGTCAAACCCGGAACATAAACAAACCAGCTTCCGGTCACAGATTGAATATGGCCGCCCCCGGTGCCGGTGCTCCCAGCCGGCTGGTCCAGTACGTGGTGGTCCGCTCGGACCTGGTCCACCAGCTGTCATGGCCGCTGGGGGCCGTCATCACCCAGGCCTGCCACGCCGCTACCGCCGCCATCCACCTGCACTACGGAGACCCGGACACCCGGCGGTACCTGGAGCAGCTGGACGCGATGCACAAGGTGGTGCTGGGGGTGAGCGACGCCGCGAGCAGCGTGTAGCCCCTCTCCCCGGAGATGGAAACGGGTCCAGTTGTGATTGAAATCCGGGTTGTTTTTGCTCCGCAGGCCCCGGATGAGGCCGCTCTGTCCGGTCTATCGGACTCCCTGACTCAGGCCGGAATCTCCCACAAACTCTGGATCGAGCAGCCGGAAAACATCCCCACCTGCCTGGCCCTGAAGCCGTACCCGAAAGAGACGGTGCAGCCGCTGATGAAGAAGTTCAAACTGTTTAAATAATGGAAAACGACTGCAATCTATAAGTGTCCACTGGGGGGCGCCAAGATCAAGCTACACAATGATTCCATGTTTACATAAATAAATCCTTGAATGCAGAAATTTCTGGAGAAATTTGTCTTAAAATAATTAACTGTTACTTTAAAATCAACAGAAACGATAAAACTTTATGCAGTATTTTTGGTTTAGGTCAATCATAAAGTGACATAACTTTTTTTTATTTGAAAAGGTAAAACAATTTAGATTTTTATTAAAATGGAGAACATTTCTTTGCCAAAATGGGAATTAATTAGTTTTTCTAGAAAAAAAAATTTCTAGAAAAAAACAAGGAAATTTTAAAATTTGAAAAGTCAAAAATGTACTAGAAAATTTGCATAAATTTAATTTTTCTAACTTAATCTTAGAAAAATTACAGAAAGAAACTTTAAGCTTAAAAAAACACATTCTAAAAATTTCAATTACCTGTAAAATAAAATAACGTTGCGTTGAAAATTTCCTTCAAAGGTAACCAATATTTTGATGTTTTTGACTTTTTTTTGTCAAAAACATGAATTTTTCTGGATGCTTCTTGCTTTGATTTAACATTCCTTCGTATCTGTGGCTCAAAGTTTTGGTGGTGATGTCCTGCTGGAAGGTTTTCTTCTTTACATAATACTTAATTTATTTTCATCAATATTTTAATCAGAAAATCCCAATAAAACCTGTGAGTTTGTGGTTGAAACATGAAAGAATATGAAAAATCAGGTTAACGAGTTTTAATAAACTTAAATTGTTTGGAGAAATGTTATTTTTAAGAAGTGAAGCATTTTTGTTTTTTAAAGTTAAATGAATGTTTATTTTTTAAAGTTAAATGAATGTTTATTTTACATTATTTTTCATCATCGCTGGAAAATAGCAATAATTCCTGAAAAGGCGTTTATGGATTTTAACTTTTTATCAATGCACTGCTGATAATTCCAGTATCAACTGATCAGAAAGAATAACGTGAGTTTTTCTATAAATAATATTTTATAAAGATGTGTTTAAAGATACAAGCAGCAGCTTTTCTCAAAGGTTTAATCTTGTTTTGTCACCTGCAGATTCATATCCCTTGTTGTGGAAATGTACATTTGTAAACAATATTATTCAACCTCTGAATTTTTGTGGTTGAGGTGAAACCCTGAAATGAGCACATGACCTGCCTTGACCTGCCTGCTGACTGCAGACTGTGTTCATCTCTGATTGCTTCCCGGAGCAGCTGCGGTTTTATAGCATGATTAGTCACAACATCACAATAAAATGTTTTCAAAAGGCACAAAACTGAAAAGTACGGAAGGGGATAAAACGACCTCAGTCTCAAGATTATGACTTTTCATCTAAGAAGGTTTAATTTAAGTCTAAGTTATTTTTGAACAATGGTGTAACTGTCTTCAGTAATAAAAGGAGATAAAGTTATAATGACAGCGTGTTGGAGCCACTATAGAGAACAAGAGTAAATGTTTATATTTAGATTCATCTCAAATATTTTGTTTGAAAAGTGGGAAATTTGGGAGATCAGTCTCAGAAAAACCTGGAAAACTTTTAGACTAATCTTCAAACTTTCTGGGAAAATGTGGCCATTTCTGAGCTTTAAAAGGAAAGAAATAGAAAATAACCTTTGGAAATTTTCTGAGTTTCAAAAGTCGAAAATGTTTTACTTTTAGTCAAATCCAAATGGAAACAGGGCATGAAGAATAAAATGGATTTGTTCCTGCTTAATATGTGAGATACTATAGATAGATAGATAGATAGATAGATAGATAGATAGATAGATAGATAGATAGATAGATAGATAGATAGATAGATAGATAGATAGATAGATAGATAGATAGATAGATAGATAGATAGATAGATAGATAGATAGATAGATAGATAGATAGATAGATAGATAGATAGATAGATAGATAGATAGATAGATAGATTAGAGCAGCCTTAAATACAGCAAATAGTTAATTTGAGTTTTCAGAGCTGAATGTTTGTCAGGACTAAACTCGCCTAAATGATCCGTTACTGAAATAGTTTCAGTCTGACTCATTTTCTAACTGGGAATCGTTCGAGCTGCACAGTTGAACCAGTTGAACGTGTTGCTCTGCAGGCTGCAGATGTTCAGCAGAGGGACGGCAGGAAAGCGGACAGGGTGGGAGACGATCTGCTTTTCATCACAAATCAAACAAACTGAGACAAAACCAGCAGAACTGATCAGATCAAATTTACCCCTGCAGACCGGAAATACCAGCAACCCTGACCTAACCCCAATACCAACCCTGACCTAACCCTACTTTTCACTTTTATGGTATGTTGGAGTTGTCATAAAATTATGATGCCCAAAGTGAGGCACCGGGACCATTTGTGGTCCTCCGACTGATTATTTTTGGACTCCCTTTCTCTGTTAAAGAATCATACAAATTTGTTTGCTAAACTTTATATTTTTAATCGACGTAAAATGAATATTGACATAATTTTATTGAAAAGGTTCATTTAGTCTTTTTGTAGCCAAACTTACAGAAAAGCTTAGCTTTTCCTTCAATTTATTAAATTTGGTTCAATATTTACTAGCATTTTAAAAGAAATTAACCCAAATCCTGTCACTTAAACTTAGAATAAATTTGTTAAACCGAGTTTTAAAGAAATTTGGAACCTACATGCCTTTTTTAATACACCAAATGTGAAAATCCTTTTTAAATGTTTTTATTTGCTTGATTTTTAAAAATTGTTTTGAACTGTGAGTACTTTAGACTCGACCTTGTTGTTTCACCTAAATATCTGTCTCTGCCCGACGGTTTGATTGCAAAGCGTTAAATGTAGATGTTGCCTCTGTGACTTGATGTTCCTGCGTTTTATCAGGAAAACAAGATGAAGGTGAACAACATTTTAAAAATGCCAGAAGTGTGTAAAGTGTGTGTCTGTGTAAAAGCAGGCATAAAGCCCTTGCTAACCTTGACCCACCAGATAATTGTGCCTCATCCAGTTTAATAAATATAGCAGTGTACAGTTTTTCTCCCTGATGTGTTCCTGGAAATATTCCTCTGGTTGTGTGTTTCATCCAGCTGCCATAATTCCTCAGTAAAAGGCTGGATATATAAGATATAAAGACGGATATACGAGTCGGGTTCACTAAATGTAAAGTGATTATTTTGAAATAATTGTTTACATCCTGGCTTAAAGTACAATATACACAAACACAACAAACCTTTCTTTGTTTGGCAGCCATTTTGCTTTCAGTTCAGCTAAAGAAAACTTGTCTAGGATAAAAACACTGCTTATAATATTTGCTAAATATCTACTATAAAAAATTTGTTCTTGTAAAAATTGATTTTAAAATTCTATAGTTCCACTGGCAGTTTTTTTTACTTATTACATGGAAAATGTCTTGTTCATCACATTAAATCCGATTAATCGTTTCCACCCAACTTGATTGATCAATTGATCTGATCAGTTATTAGGTTTAGAAATAAAACTCTTGTTTGAGCAGCGTTCTCCCTTATTAGATCATATAAACTTTCTACAAAATACATTATTTAATTAAAAGTATGTTATCTTCGTCTCAGATTAAAATTTGTTGATTTGAAAGATTTACGTGTGACCCAAAAATCTTGAATTTATTGTTATTTTTGGGGACATGCTAGGCTAACAGTTAGCATAGACAGAACTGCGTATTCTTGTCTACGGTTAGCCGGTGAGCGTTAGCATAGCAACGCAGCTCCTGTTTGAGTTGGAAAATAATTCACCGTGAAACATCGAGGTGTACAAAGAATTGTTGTCATTGGGAACTGAATCTTTCCCAAGGTAACAGCTGCTAACTTGAAGCTCAGCCGATTCGCTTTTAGCTAGCAGCTCGTTTGAAATCTCCGGACGGTTAAAATGGCGGCTTGACCAATGTTTATGAAAATCTGCCCCCTTGTGGTCGGACAGTAGTCATGCAACCTGAAACATTTTGCGACAAGGGCAAAAATCACGCCTTTTTATTTAAAAATGTACAAATTAATTGATTGTGCATTTTTCAATTGTATCTGCTCAATAATAAATTAATTAAAGAGGGAATATTTAATTGAATTTTTTAGAAAGGTGATCTGTCAGCATAGTATTAAACAATATTAATTCAGTTGTGTTGCTTTCCTTTGTTGGTCTTGAAGAACTTTTTAAATTTAATCAGCAATAATAAGATTTGTGTCACTTTTATTTAGCGTTTGCTGTATTAATGGAAGCTTTTGAGTAAAAATAGCTGGGTGTTTGTTGTTCTATTTACCACAATATTAAGATATTTAAAACATTTTGATGTTGTTCCTTCACATTTTTTATTTAAAAAATACTTTATCTGTAAAAATGTCAACCTAATTGATAAAAATATTTTTATCTGAGTTTTTATACATGTGCTTGCATTTGTCTGTTCTAACAAATATTTTAAATTGTTCTCTATAGTAAAGCAAAAATGTAAGCCGTGCAATGAGATAAACACTTTGCTTACTGTGTGACAATAAATATGTTTTCTTTTGGGTTTAAGGATTTAGCTCATAGAGCTAAAACTCATCTGTTCGTTTAGATTTTGGGATAATAATCTATTTGCACTGGTTTTGCACAGTTACTTTATTTATCCAGCACTTTACAACAAGCAAGTTGCACCAAACAAATTGCAGTTCTAGTGCTGAAAATACTTTCAATAACAACTTGAAAAGTTAAAAGTTTCTTGCAAACCACATTAAAATACAACAAGGCTGCCTTTTGTACAAAAGTGAGCCTTTGTGATTCTGCAGATATATGTTTCATAGAGTCAGACTTTGTTTTTCACCTTATTCTTTCAACTAAAATGAGAAAAAAATGTGTTGACAAAGTATTTCCACACACAGGAGTCGTCACTTATGCAAAAAATGTTAAGACCTGGACAAGCAAGTAATTTAACAGAACAGTTAAAGTGTACTTTCATGGGAGAAGTTGAGCAGAACAAGCCCTGCAGCAAAGATTAGCTGAAAATATGTCTGAAAGAATGGCAACAAATGTCCGAAAGATTGCGCAACAGCTCAGGGATAATTTTTGCATCGAGTGGCATCATCTCGGCTCGTGCTTTAAAACAAGAAGCACACAAATGTTATAACGATTAACTGATTTTTTTTATTTATTTTTTTACAGATTAATAGGATTACGAAATTGGTATGTTTTGCAGAATTTTTGAAACTAAAGCCTTTTTCATACAAGATTAGAAATAGTTTCAAATGCAGTTAAACAAATAATTCCATTCTTACTTTAAATAATAAAATAGACATTTTATTATCTAAATAACAGTAATAACAGCATTGCTTTAGGGAATTTGTAGCTAAAAAATACATTTCACATGTGAAAAGCTCATCTTTTTCTATTAACATTAATACAGTATATAGCTGATATGTTGATTATTTTTTAAATTATTGAATAAAAAATAATTATTGATTTTTAAAAATTATTTAATATAACATATTAGGTAAAACGTTTGTCAATTAATCACCAACTTCAGTTAGCTATTAATTGATTCCTAAATTAATTTTTTTTAAATAATTGATTAATCAGACTAATTGATTAACAGTATTTTTTTTTTAAATAAATACATCTTTTTACTTTTATATGAATACAAAGATATGAAAACATCCAATTTTCTCAAACGCAGACGTGGGTTTATCCACTTATTATGAGCCATTTTCAAAGTAAATAGATGCATTTTTTGTTTTTGTAGCAACTAAACTATTGACGAATATTCACGACTAATCGTTTCATCGTGTAAAAGTAAAAACTCCTAAAAGTATTTTTTTCTTTTTCTAAAGTTACTCAAGCAGATATAAGCAGTTGCTATCCTTCTTTACATGCATTTGGTGAAAGATAAATAATTGGGGTTGAACTGACAGCTTCACTGGTTGTTGTGGTCAAACATCAAAGGCTGGGACTTTAGTCCGGTCGCCTCGTGAACGCGCGTCCGCCGTGCACGAGCAGCCCTGTTTGTTTGTGTTGAGAGATTGGAAATGGCGGAGAGCAGAGAGCAGAGCGATAACTTGGCTTAGCAAACGCAACTGCACCGCCACGCACAAACCCGCGAGCCCGATCCACGGAATCTCCCGCCACTCGCTGCTGCCCACCGGACTCGCGCGGCGCCCACGGACGGCGTGGAAAACGGATATTTGGAGCGAGATTTAGCGAAAGCTCGGTTAGTTGGCTGAGCTAACCGAGCTAGCAGCCTGGCTAACTTCACGTCGTGTGTGATTTCGACCACGCAGGCTTGTTTGTCAACAAAAGCTGACGTTAGATTGACAGCGAGCCAGCTTACATACAACTTAAGGAAAGTTTCCAGATTAACCCACGCGTGTTTTTGACATGTTCGCGACGCTTGGCCGCAGTATTATCAAGCTAAAGTAGGAGAGGATAAAAAAGTGAGACAGCTGAGTGAGTATCCTTGCTGCGACCAGGCAGGAGGTTAAGCTGGTTAGCCAAGTTAGCCAACTGGCTTTGGTTTAAGCTGGGAAAGAACCAACGGAACCGGACGGATCCAAGCCGAACTGGAGCCCGAACAGGTAGGAGAAGCTCCAGCACATGTGAGAGATGCCTGGACGACTCATGTGCTGCAAGGCCTCGGCTCATTGTTGAGTTTTTCTCTCCTGTCTCCGTTTTTCTCCCACTCCTGCTGGAAGTGGAACCTGCTCGGCTCCGGAGGGGCGTTTTGCTCCAGAGCAGGCGGCTGTTATGTAACGCGGAGCTGGGGGAGACGGCCTGAAGGTGTCGCAGCTCTTTTTGGGGGTTTCTGTAACCTGAACGCAAAGCTGAAAGAACACCTTGACCTCTTGACACATGGCATCTGAGGCTGTTACACAAGGAACTCAGCTTCACTGGAAAAAACATGCAGAATGTCTGTTTAATTATCATTAATTAGTGGACTCTGTGTTGCTTTCTTCAGATATTTTATATAAAAACACATATATAAATGAAAATAGGTTGGCATGTTAGAACATTTGAGTTTCAAGTCTTTTCATCTGAAAGCTCTTTAGGAAGAGTTTGAACATTTGGGCCGACAATAATAATAATAATGAAGGCTGGAAAATGCAAAATTTCACATCAGTCTATATCTATAATTATTGATTAGTTTTTTGTTATTGCAAATATCTGAAATACTGACACATTTGTCAGTATTTTATTCAGTTCTCACTGTACCATGTTGATTTTTTCATTTTATTTTTAAGCTGTTATGAAGCAAAGTGACAAAACCTTAATCTGCTACTGTTACACAACAGGTTGTTGCTAGGCGACCTCGGTATGAATGAGTTGCTAGGTAACCAAAGAGGGAGAGAGTTAGTTGATTCCACCAAACTAGCTTAGCTTGCTGTTAGCCTACATCTCCCAGAATGCTGTGCAGTTTAAAGGGTTGAATATTCTATTATTTATTGATATTGATCAAGTATATTATGATGTATATTGTTATAGATTTATTGTTCAGTCCTAACTATGGTATTATAACGTGATCAATTAAAACGAGCTCAATAATTTCTTCTTAATCCATTTTATTTATCTTTTTTGGTTTTTATTTCCTTTTTGTTTTTGGTTGTTTTGTTTTGGATATTTGACATATCCACCATACCACTCCCATAGTTAAGTGTTCTTAACAAAATTAAAGTTCATTTGATGATTTAAGTATCGCTGTAATTCGATGTATTTTAAGGAGATCAAACTAAAAGTTGTGAAATGTTGACACAAAATCCAAAAAATGTTTTCCAAACAGAAAAAGCCTTGAAATGTTCAACAATTACATTTTTAGTGCTCAGAATAACTCTGTTAACTTACTTTTATTCACGCAAAAGGTCAAAATTAAAACTGTGGTACATAATATTTTATAATTAAAAGCACCAACAGAGGATAAAAAAAATTAAGAAGGAAGGAAAAAATAAATAAATTATTTGTCAAACTAAAAATTACAGTTAAATCTGGAAACTTCTTCCACTTGATGGCTATTTTTTATGTTTTGATAGCAATATTTAGCATTCAATAAATCAACTATTAATGAAAAGTTAATTTATTTCACAAGCTCCATTCACATTATATACATTAATTCCACCCAGGTTGATGTTTTCAAGCCGTTATTACTGTTAATTATTATTCTTGCTTGCAGCTAATAACAAATATTACATTGGACCAATAATAAGAAAGAAAAACATTTATTGCAGAAATGTCAGCTTAACAAAAAGTACAAAAAGTACTGCTAAAAGATTTTGAGCTGATGATTATTACTCATAAAACATTCTACGTTATTAAAAATGACTGTATTTGGTTGATTTGTACAAAAAAATCCAAATGTCTTGCAGGGATTCATGAATGAATAAGGCTTGGTATGAAAAGCAATTAGATAAATGGATAAATTTTAATTCTCAAAACTGCAACTTGAAACAATTAATAACAGCTGTGGATAGAAACTAATTTGAATCTAAATTGATTGAAACTCAACATTCAATTAACTGCTTTGATTGATGCATTAAAACTCAACTCTCCCACATTCTCTTGGTTTGTGAATGCATCAGTAAATGAACAGCCTTTTCTAGAATCTCCTGTTTTAACCTCATTGTGTCCTGATGCTCTGCAGCCATTTTGGAAGCGTTTTATTAAACCTTTAGATTAAACTGTGGTTTTGAGTGGTGGTCAATATCTTTTATCAACTGAATGTTTTTCTGTTTGTAACTGAGGCAAAGTAATTAATCCCAAGTTTCCCTTCAGACTCTGCTGTTCAGGTCTCAAACATTCATTCCTAAACATTCAATTCAACATCTTTAACTTCAGATATTTGAGCTAACACTAAAGCTAAATGTTCTGAATCGTCTGTGTTTATTTATTATTAAGCATATTTTCTAAATGTTGCACTCAAAAATGTCATTGTATTGTACTGTTAATATAAATGCAGTATCACTGTAAATATTGGGTACATTTTAGCCGATTATTTGATTTTTACAGCATTAAAGTATGTTTTAGATGGTAACTTTATTAAACTACTTCACTGGCGTTGTTTTGAAACTTAAACTAGAGAGGCATGACATATCTATGGGCCGATGTTGGTCATTTGATGTATCGTTATTCTTTTAGCGTTTAATTATTGGGATTAAAAAGGTTTGAAAATATCGGTCAAAACAGCAATATGAATATCGGGCATCAATGACGGCCCAAATTTTTATATCAGTACAAACTTAGCAGATGTCAACTAAAAGCAATTTATTTTTACTTATTCTATAAAACTTGTTTTCTGTGATTGGAATAAAAAATATCAGAATCAACATCAGTATCAGTCTGATAAGTAAAACCTTGCTGATGTGGTCAATTTTCAGTGAGTTAACTAAATATATGTTAAAAAACATAATTGTGCTATTTCCCATATTTGTATGTTTAACATTTTTTACTTATTTTCTTTCTGTTGCTACCTTTTATCGTTTTAATTAATTTAGGTTCACTCAAAAACGTGACTCATTGATTTATTGGCTGATGTGTGAAAAGTCAAATTCAAGAATATCAATATCCAATATTATGGCATATTGATTTGACTGATAACCAATATTTATCAATAATATTTGCATTATATATATTTTCTTGCTCTTTTAATAACATTTAAAAGGTTCGGGAAATACACTTTAAATGTTGTTTAAAGAAACCATTCCTAATTATTTTATTTACAGATAATTCTATCAATTGTTCAGACGATTAATTGATTAATCTTATAAAAACATAGATTTTTTTTTATTATTATGCGATATTGGAAAAAACATTAAAAGATATTTTAGTAATTTGTCAAGATGCAATGTCAATAAAATTTTCTGTTTTTAAAGATTTAATTTTTGGAAAATCCTAAAACGTTTTTTCCATCGTTTCTTGGATTTCAAGGTTAATGATTCTGTTTGACAAGCGTCTCAAATTATTGAAGTAAAAGCCAATTTTTTAAAAGATTTTTTCTGTCGTGTAATTTTTAAGGAAGGTGAGAAAAAAACTAAAATTAGAAATCGGAGTTGGTGGTTAAAAAAAAAAAGAAGAATATTTTATGTTTAAACCACATCGGCCGCCTCGATACTCGTCACTTTAACCACTTTTATAGTTAGTAAAACTCCCACCAGATATTTATAAGCACCTTGTTGCCGTGTGTGTGTGTGTGTGTGTGTGTGTGTGTGTGTGTGTGTGTGTTTCTGTTGATCATGTGGTATTTGTTTGGTCATGTGACTGTAATCGGAGGCTCGCTCCTCCTTGTTTTGTGTGTGAAGTGACAGCAGGTGGATCGGTCTGAGCAGCATCTGCAGTGTTTGTGTCCGAAGCGTCACAGCTGGGCCTCACGGAGCCGAGATGGAGCCCAGATAACAAGCATGTTACAGAGTTCAGCTCGGGCCTCGCTTGTGTGGCTCAAAGTTTGTAGCAACCATGAGAGTAAAGCTGTCTGTAAGCAACGAAACAAAGAGTTGCAAAGGGATCAGGAGTTGCTCTCTATTTGGCTGATCTCGTCAATCCTGCAGGAAAATCAAACGATGCTCATATTGTCTGGAATTAAGCAGCTTAGGATTAACTTCACGAGTTTAAAAAGTGAGTTAAGGAGCAGAGATGTTAATTGGCAGGTGGAATAAATCATTTCTTATTAAACATGAGGTGTGAAGACAAACTGTTGGCAGTGGGAGTCTTCCTCATCCTCCTCCTCCTCCTGTCTGAGCTCTGCGTCTGTATGGAGACTGATCAGCCATTTTAGCAACCTGCCTGCCTGCAGCCGCTGCTTTCTTCTGCAGGAGCTGCTTTAGGTGTTTGTGTGTTTTAAATCCCCAGGATGTCAGCGGACACGCTTCGCTTTCATTTAGCTTCTCTGAATAATCCCCAGCATATGGTGGCAACTTTATCCTGCACAAGTTTTGATGTTTTTTCTATTTTTATTGAATATTTTCTCCTGTAGCCTCATTTTAGTCCAATATTTTTGAACAAAGTCAATGTTTTATTTAAAAATTTATTATTTGTTTATTTGCATCTTTTTTTCCCCCAAATTAAATGAATTGTTAGAATAATCAATTAATTGATAACTAAAACAGTTCACATATGTGAAAGACAATATGTGAATTGTCTTTCACATGTCTGCACTTCTGCAAAAAAATGTTTTTGGTCATTTGAACATTTGTAATCTGCCGTATTTGCTTTATCAACTTTGAAATTATTTAACATCTCGTCTCCTTCAATTAACAGAATAAAATTTATCACTGCTGCATTTTTCTTGTTTCCCCTTTATTTAATTTGCAAAGCCTCTGAACTGTTTTTACAGTGAATCACTAATGGAGAAGACTAAACATGTCCTAAAACCAGTAAACTGTAATTTCCCTGACATGTAGAGGCAAACATGAGAAACTATGTTTGCCTTGACTGCTATTTGAAATCAGTTAATGTTTCTCCCCTTGTCTTTGCTTCTTCTGCAGATAAATTAGTTATTCTCTCAGAAGTTAGTGGACCTGAATTTAATTTGTTTTGATTTTTCTGTTTTCTTAGTTTATTTTGAAGTGGAAAAATCAAAGAACGAACCGTACATGAATTATGTACAAAAAGAAGTAGTGTTGGGTGCGTTTCTGCTTCATTAGAGTATATTTAAATCAGATTCGGTGCATAAATGCTTATTATAACTGATATGTTTTTTGATGTAGAAAGAGTGTGTATTACTGTAAGTGAATGACCTCTGGCACACATTTTACATTCTCTGCTCTGTTTCTGACGTTATTGCCCGACCTTAAACTTTGTCCCTGTTGGTTACCGTATACAAGCTCCCCGTATGCAGAACATAAACAGCGGCTCGGCCTTTGCTCTTTATTCTAGAAACAAAACAATTTGGGTTTTTTTGTCCCGTCTCAGTTAAAGCACACCCAGATAATTTCAGTTCGTAGTTATTCTTGTCATATTTGTGCATTAACAGCCGAATAAAGGAAACGGAGCTGTTTAAAATGCTTATTGACATATTTTTATGTTTCGTCATCAATATCTGTTAAATTGTAAAGGATGAATAAAGATAAAGGGTTAATCTCGATTATTTGATCAACTATTATTTGATCCGGTTATTATTGATCGATGCATTCTGCTGCTTAGCATGGCCACCGGTAACGGACAGCTCCTCGCCCTTCTTCGTTTGTCGCGTTTAGCACTTTTTTTTAACTGTTAGCAAAGTTAAACTGTTAGCATTTTATCTGTTCTAATTGCACATATGATTTATTGATTTATGCTGCTTTCATGTTTCATATTCTATTCACATTGAAAAACAAAACTGTTTTTGCAATTAATCAAATATTATTTTCAAATAATGAACACAGGTTCAGTTAAATTTAAGGCTTTAATTGCATTAAAAATATGAAATTTAAGGACTGCGATTGATATTATTCATTGATTGATCTATTAAATGTGAAGATTAATCGGATTAAAAGAATTGCCACATTTTGGATATTTCTTTTATATATTATAAATTTAATAAATTTTTAAAATAAAATAATGCAGTTGGGCATTTTATTGCCTGAAATGTAATAATAGCTAGTACGCTCAGTTATTTGTAGCAAAGGATTCAAAATAAATTGTGAAAAACTCAACCATTTCTGCTCGACTTACAGTTTAAGTGTTGCGCTGATCTGTTTATTTTTTGGACTAACCAATTTTTCATTATTAAATTAAAAGGTGCTTGGTAGATTTTCTTAGCAGTTATGGATGAAACATATTTTCAGACAAAGAAGGTTTTATTTTTTCATGTTAAAAGCAAAATGCATATATTTTTGCTTAAAACATTTTTGTCTAAGCATGTTATTCTTTTAGCAAATTGCCTTTTTTGAAAGCTCACTCTAGTTAACAATTAATCGATGAATAAATTAGCTGATGATTATTTCTATGATAATCACTATTAATCATTTCATGCCTAGACAAGATCCAGCATCAGATGCTGTAGAGTTAGAAACTGGAAGGAAAAGTTTGCAGACTGTGGCACATAACTTGATCTTTTGTTGAAATACCATAAGAATGTGTAATAGTTAATGGATCTACTGTTAATGGAATTTAAAAAAAACATTTGTGCTCTATGCATTGAATGTTGATGGCATTATTAATGTGAAAAATATCACTGAAAGCATTAAATTTGATTAGCAGAAGCCTTATGCTAACCCGTTTGTGCTTCTAGAGGCCATGTTGTTTTTGTTTGGTCATGTGACCGATGTTGATGCCGACACACTGAGGCTGCCTTCTCAGCACCTGCCCCAGTCCTCCGCAAAATCAATTATTGCTGTCATTGATGTATTTATTCACTGGAATGTGCATGACTAGATCTTATGATTATGTTATGAATGGTGGGACTAATTTGTACTGAATGCAGCCAACCGCACTACGCAGTTTGTTCTCTTCACACCTCCATAATGTCACATAGACCTTGGACTTACTGCAGGCACTGATAGACGAGGCATAGAAACTGTCACATTGTTCCAAAACAAACCAGCGGGAGCGCCATTCCGGTCCAGGTTCAATAAACGGGTGAAGGACAGACCGATTCATCTGAATTATGAACAAAGCACAAGACTTTTGGTGCAAATTATGTTTAGTCTTCGTTCAAAAGAGAAACTTATTCGAAATGTCTCTGCTAGTTTGTCAGTGACTGCTTGGTAAAAGAAGCAGCAATTCCCAGGTAATGTCACAATATTAGTCAAACTTCATTTCACCATTTCTAAACTCAATGCCAAATTTCTTCAAAAAATAGTTTGAAATATTTTAAATCAGATATGGATCAAGCACATTTTTGCTTTTCTTTACAGTCTGACTTGCTAATCTCGGCTTCCTGAACTAAACCTCTTCCAAGCTCTTCTGTATGAGCAGTTTAGTGTAGCACACATTACCTGCAGTAAAGGAAAAGAGTTTCCTTGATAGTTGCTTTGAATCCAACAGAAAGTAGAAATTTTAATTATCCCCATTTATACAAATAAAGCATCTTTAACTTGTATCTTCATAAATACACAGACCAGAAGATATAATATTTAATGTGTTTTAATTTGCATGAGGAATATAAACAATCCAATGTTTCAGTATTTAGTCTACAGTTTTTTTTTGTTTTTTTTATGTATTATATATTATGTTTCCTCAGTGCGGTTCGGTTCTATTTTGTCTGCTTCCATTGTAAAAGTGGCTTATAAAACAGGATTGGCTTTAGCCATGCTCAGGATATTTTTGATTTTGATGTTAGCACCTCCTACTGGTGGGCATTGGTATTGTTGGGTTTCCTATTGGAAATGTCAAAAGTTGCTGTGGTTCAGTTCACTATTCAGCCTGTTTCAATTGTAAAACCTACTGGGTCTGTCTTCACTTGATGATCCAAAAAACAATAACACAATGGAGTGAAGCTACCAGCGTCACTCAACACACACATTTCTAAATCAACAAGTTTGATTGTTAAATATTGGACTGTAGAACTGTTTGGATTACACCGCTCTGTTTATTTGTACCTGCACATTTCAGGCAATTTTAAAGACTTTTCTGCTTTTTATTAATGTTGTTATTTATGTTCTTATTTCTGAATATATATATTTTTTAGCGAGAAGCCTTGTTTTGATTTTCTATATTCTAGTTGACAATAAATCGTTCACGAAATTAGTTGACGATTATTTCAGTATTTGATTAATCACGATTAATTTGATTAATCGATTAGCCCTAGCCTGTATTGGTATAGGAAGGTCTTTTTTAATCGATCTTTTCTGACTGATGGTGTTTTCTCTCCTCCATGTCAGAGGCCGGCTGGCTTCTCCCTGCACCAGGGATGGTGCCATGTGACAGTATGGCGGGGGAGCCCTAACCTCGCCACCGGCGCTCCATCACCTCGACTTTAAGCCGTTCGCCCTCCAGTGACCCCACCTGCAGAGTTAACCCCTTTTATCTGTGGAGAGAGCCCAGAAGAAGGCCCCCAAAGCCACCACATGACTCATTCACTGGAGCCCTAGACCAAGTAGGTGCATCAGGTTGATCTATCCAGAATGTCTGAAATGTCTTTAGACTACAGTTGATAATCTGCTTCAGCGATCTGGTTTCAACTCCTACATGTACAAATCAAACTGTAAATCAACTGTTTGGATCTTAATCTTGTTCAGTTTGTGCTGAATTACTGCTTTGAATGTATATTCTAGCTATCAATGAATTGAGTGCTATTGATCATTATTTCAATAATCAACTAATAACGATTATTCCAAGTAATCCAAATATGCTTGTAAAAATGAAAATAAGCTGTGGACCATTTGAAAAATGCTGAAATCATTCCCCATCCATGTGTGAAGCAAAACATTTGATCAGATTTTTATTGGATAGTGGAAATTATTTAAAAAAAAAAAATCTTTAATCGCCTCCTAACAGCACAATATTTGAGCATTCCCTTCTTTCTGAAGCTATTTGAAGTTTGGTCATTGAGTTTTGTTTTTTTTTTCAGCCCAGAAAACACAATTCTTTGTTTCAGATATTTTTTTAAATTAAAATGTGAAATTTGACAATTAGTTTTAGTTTGGTTGTAGGTCTGAACGATAACTTGACCCAAAAATTATTGCAAAAACGATAATGTTGTAATTTTTAAACCACTTTCAACTGATTTTACAATAATACTAACTGAATATTAATGCAAGTACAAACAAACAAAAGGAAAAAAAAAACTTTAATTTCTAGAGAACATTTAACATTTCAAACATAAAAAATAAACAAAATCACTGGAACAATAGTAATTCAGATAAATTATAAAGTCTCTGTAACCAAAATTACATCTCAAAAATATTAATCATTCAGATTAAACTGGAAAATGAGCCAAAAGAGCCAGTCAGGACTTTTGTCAATTGAAAATATTTTTATTTTACATAAAAGTTTGACATCTTGCGCTTTAGCTGACAGAATGAAGAAGAAAAATCAATGCTTTGTTTTAATAAGACACAGAAAATAAATGAAAGTAAACACCCAACAATGCCATTTTGGTAGTTTGGACTTTTATAAAAGATTAAATAAATCTATCGACTCCATATTGGATGTCAAATGTTGGCCAAATTTTTCTAAATATTTAGTTTTCAACTAAATTAAATGGGGACATTTCTTGTTATCTAAATGAAAATAATCTTTCTCATTTTCATTGATCATGTGATTAATTGATTTATTGCATATCTTGAAAGAAAGATAAAGCTGGATTTTGGTGAAGTTTGTTTTCGTAAATGTACTTAACTTTTGCTTCTGTTTGTGGCATTTTCAGATAACAGGTTGTTGTGTTGATGATGGGAAAATATAAACCTGGTCAAATTTCCATGCAAAATTCAGCAAAAAATCCCCATAATTCTGACAAGGAAGTGAGACGAGTGTACAAGTGAGAGTTTAAGCTGCTGTAATTGAGTTTTCTGTGTGTTTATATGGTGGTATTTATCTGTCAGTAGTTGTTGCACAAATGAAGGAGCCTCTGTGGGTCTCTAACTTCAGACCGCTGCGTACTCTATACAGCGAGGACTTTGGCTGTGTGTTGTGGTGGCTGTGGAGCCGTGTGCGGTCCAAGGTTATGTCTGACTGCCGGTAAACATCCTGGTTCTGGTCAACACAGATGGTGGGGAACAATGGATTGGAACTGGACAGAGGATTCAGTTGGAAAAATGAGAAGCACCGCAGCGTTTTTCTCTGTTTATGCAGATCTGTCATATCTAGCTTTAATTTTCTGGGTGAACTTTTTCTCACTGTTGTTTTACTTCCTCTCACTTCATTTTAAAACACAGAAGTAGTGAAAAGTGACTGTAATCAATTCTTCCCACTGTAAGCACGTCCTCACCAAAGAGGGTTACTGTTGGCCCAGACTGGAAGTGCCAGTCTGTGTGTTCACTGACCAGAAAAAGATTAGATTCTGGAGCTTCTGATAATTAGATCATTTTAATGGTATTTGGTGTTTAGAAAGGTAATTTCTTTTAAAAACACATTCTTCTAAAAATTATCTCTAAGGACGAAGTGGTGGTGATCTACAGGAGACCTCAGGAGCGTGTCTCCCAATTATTTGTGAAAAATTCACCTAATTGCAGGTTTTTTAATGGAGCATATCTTAAATATTTGAAAATGCAGTTTGGAAAACTGAAATACCTTGGTGCAATTATAAGGATGCATTCACACCTGCTTAGTCCAGTTTAATTGAACTCTAGTTCGTTTAGCAAGGTGTGAATTATGTAAAAAAGCAAAGGCTAGTCCGTTTAAAAATCTGAAATGTGGTTTGGTTGAAGTGAGCTCTGGTGCTGTTTGAATTAGTACGTGAACTCAAAGTTGACCGGAGCAGGAAGTGAAGTGCACCGCAGGGCATTCTGGGTAAATGCAACCAAACTTATCATGCTAGGCTAGTACTAGCGGAAGTAATAGCTCTATAGCACTTCGCCAACAACAACAGAGAAATCCTACATCCACTCAATTTTTATTTATATTTTGGGAAGAAGGAAGTTGCGCTCAGTGTCTCGTTTTTGTCTAGTTTTCTTCAGTTGTTCTTGTTGCAGCGCCCCCACAGGTGAGGAAGGGAACAGTTGCTATTTTGGTCCCCAATCGAACCAAATCTACCGGACTATAAGGCCTGAAAAAAACCCTTTGCTGCTGCAGTAGTGCTAAAGTTCTGTTAATAAACCCAATAAGAAACCTTTCAACGTCTCAGAGCGAATAATTTTCATGTTTAATAACAAAACTGAGCTCAGAGGGAGTAGAATGACTTCTGCTTTGTCATTTAAGTAAATAACTTTTTTAGTTCAGTTATAAAATCCACCTGATGCAGGAGTTGGTTGTGCTCTGCTTCATGTGGAAGCCACATTTTCCCCAGCAGACCTGCACAATATGAGCTGCTGCTGATTTCACCTGGTCCACATGACGATCAGCTCCTCAGAGCGTGATGAATAAAGGAGCTGGAGGTCTGACTGAGGCTGTTTACTCTCTGCTTTATGTCCTGACATTCAGGAGGGGCCGGCCTTAGCAACAGTGACTGAGCAGCTTCTCAGAGGCTGAACCATCTCCCAGCAGCAGAAAGGGGTGCGCAAGTTTCACACTGAAACAATCTGGGAATCTCTTTTTATTTGAAGCTAATTATACATATTTGCAGCTTCAATTTGATAATTTATTGAATTTTTAATCAAAAATCTTTTGTTTTACTTATGTAACTATCCTACACCTCTGCTGCTTTCATCTGTTTTCATGTTTTCATGATTTTGTTTGAGAAAGTTCACAAATGAGGACGTGAATGAACTATTCAGAGTCTGGCAGGTTTTTTTTTTAAAGATGCATCTTCAAATCATATTTCCCTCTCAGTCACAACATGATGCTCCAAATCAGGATGATATTTAACCGTGGCATCCCTTCCCTCTTTTACCTCCTTCTCCTCCCACGATTTCTCTGATGAGCCTCCATCTCTCGCTGCCCACTCTCCACCTGGTGGTCTCTCCCTCGCTCCCCTTGCAATCCATACATTTGCACGCTTTCGGTTGCCTTTCTGTGTGATGGCAGCTTGCAGGATGGGAGGACGACGGAGGGAGAAGCCCTAAAGAGGAGACGGTTGGTGTTTGTAATGGGGCGGCTGTGGATTTTACGTCTCAGAAGGCTGACTCTGCTGTCGCTGCTGCTGTTTGTTCTTCATCTTTGCTGACTGAAGGCTCAGTCCTCCTCTTCCTCCTCCTCTGTACGTCACTTACAGAGAGGAGGGCGGGAGAGGTCAGAAGCTGCGGGAGGCTGACCTCTTCTACAGGTGTGTGTTTGTGTGTGATAGGAGCTGCAAAGGTTTTGTGTTTTCTGCAAAACGTGACATGTGGCATGTGCTCAGCCTGCAGCTGTAACTACTGATGGTCACTCCAGTCACATGTTACTGGGTTTAAAAGTTGTTGAGAGAATTTTATCAAATGTTCACCTTATTGATCAGAAAAGGAAATTTATTTTATTTAGGAAATAAGGAGTATTTCTTGGATGTGGTCTTTTAATTTGCATGTACTAATGTTTACAGATTTACATTGAAAATGGATAATTAAAATGATAGTTATTGTAAAATAAAGAATTATTTGCTCAATAGAGTAAAAAGAATCTGATGAATAGTGATGTTTATTACAGAGATTTCATAATCTATTTGGATATTTCTGGTTTTTATTTTCTTTTTATTTATTGTTTTTGGTTGTTTTTTATTTTGTATATTTAATGTATCTTCCGGTTTAAGTTCTTTATAAAGTTAAAGTTTATTTTTTGCTGGGACAGCGAACTTGCATTACTAAGTTACTATAAACATATTTTTAGAAAAATAGTCCCAAAACAAAAATATTGTTGTTCATTATAATCATTTCTGGGCCAATTTTCCATCTAGTTATTGTTACACAATAACAAATTATGCACCAATCTGATATTAATATCTATTGATCCTTGTATTGAAAAAAATTGTCTAGATAACGGGAGATCTATTCAGCCTAACTCTATTCAATTCCTTTTTTAAATGAGAAAATAAACAATTTATTGCCTGAAATGCAACAGTAGCATTCCTTCAGAGAGCAAAGGGTGCTTCTAGCAGCCACCCTTTTTGATTGACTTATTAATACGATGTAGATCTATTGATCATTTGTATTAACTGATTAATAACTGGACATCAAAACAGTGCTAGACATTTTTTAAACATAATTCAAACAGATTTAATAGAACGGTTTTACAGACACATTTTTTTGTCTCTTAACTGCAAATGTAGATATTTTTTGTACAGTTTTTTTTTTTGCTTATTTATTGCACTGAGTGTTTTATTAAATGTAATTTCTTCAGTCTCTGTTTTCTAGCTAACGATTAATCGACTGCTGAATTAGTTGAAGATTATTTCATCAATCGATTAATCACAATTAATCTGATTAATCATTTCAACCCTAAATCAGATCAAATCCCATAACATCCAAAACAGTTAAATTCACATCCAGTCTCCTACAATATGCTTCTAATTTCAGTGAAATAAAATAGTTTGATTGTATAATGGTGAACGGTGAGCCCACTTAACTCTTTTTATTTTCTAATTTAAATAAAAAGCAGCTGTGATTCCCAATCCTCCAAACACGAAGCTGATGTTTGTGTCATCTGCTGAGCCGTCGTGGCGCTCTGGTTTTCCTGATGCCTCCTTTTCCTCCTGGAGGGGAGTGAGGGTGATTCGAGGTAAAAATGTAAACGAGGCTCATCAGGAAGAATTATTGTCCTGTCAGCAGCTTGACCTCACAGCCATTCTTTATATTTCTGTAACAATCGTGGATTAAAAGGTTTCTGTTCTGTGTAGCTGATCAAACTTTTGAGATTTGTGCTTAATATGACTCAAATTTTTTTTTAATTGGTTAAAAATAACTACTTTCGGTACTTTTGCTCTTTTTTGACTGATTCTTCCCTTTAAATAAGGCGTTTTCCCCCTCGGAGCTGCATGTTGATTAGAACCACTACGACATCAAATTTGTGACAGCAGCATTAATGCAACATTTGCTTTAATGGATCCTTCAGAAACCTCGTTAACTCCTGGATTTCGGCAAGTGTTGCAGCATTTGTTTCCATGTCAACCCTCCAGAGATGTTGCTGCTCAGTTATTTCCCACTTTGGGCGCACGTTGATGGAGAATGTGAGAAAAATGACAAAAACCTTCAGGAGGATGTTGGACACGTTGAAGCTCTGGTCTGGATTTCGAAGTATTTTCCAGAATATTTGGTTCCAGTCTCCATATTTTCACACGTTTTTTTTTTTTTCACAGACTCCATGTTCAAGAACAGATCTGCAATAAATGAACCATTGGTTTTGTGTTTATGTAAAAAAAAAACAAAGAGAGTAAAATCAGGAAATTCTGAAACTGGCACCAGCAGCAAAGTGACCGGCGATCAAAGCATGCGGCCTCAAAATATAAGAAAACCACAATAAGGTCAAATTTTCAACAAAATGCACTGAGCAGTTTTTCAAGAAAGCGTACTCTGATCCAAAGGAATGTGCAACTGAGTAAGATCATGTGAAAATTTTTCACATTTGTGCATTAAAAACAGGCTATTTACAATGAGTGAGAACTCCAGAAGCAGAGGAAATACCAGCAGGGACACAAGAACGTCCAGCACTGACGGTTATAGTCTGACAGCTGCTGGCAGGAAGGATCTGATATGCAGCCACTTTGTGCATCCAGGATGCAGCAGTTTGTCACTGAAGCAGCTGGACGTTCCTGAAGTACCAGTACAATGCTAACATAAACTTCAGGATGGAAACTTATGATGTAATAATCAATTATTCTAATGACTAATCGATTAATTGGATAAAAAATGGGCACATTTTTTTTTCAAATAAGAAAATGAACATTTTGTTGCCTGAACTACAACATTGCTTTAGTGAAAACTTGATAATTTGTAGCAAATGTTGAATCTGCAACTAACAAATCTCAGTGAACCTTTTCTGCTTGATATAGTGCTGCAGTGTAGGGGCAATATATTGATTATCTATTTGATTAACTGATTAATAACTGAATGGCAAAATGTGCTTAATTGGGAATTTGTTTTGTACTGAATTTTAAACAAAAAGCTAAAACTGTCTGGATAAAACATAGTTACAGACAAAAAGGTTTATTGTTTAATCTTGAATACAAGATATTTATATTTTTGCACAGTTTTGGCTGAATTATTTCTCTGAATGTGTTGTTTTTAAGAGTCTGTAATCTCCAGTTGGGGATTAATCGAAAACCAAAGCAAATTGATGATTACTTCAACAATCACCATTAATCGTTTCAGGCCTATTTAATTTATCAATTGAACACAGATAAATTGCTGATAAAGTAAAACCTGTCCAGCCGACTGAACAGATTTATAAACAAAAGCAGATAACAGATACAATCCACAATTCAGAAGCATTTAGTTTGATTAGAGAAATGTAAAGTAATCCAGTGAGGCCATAAATGAGAAACCTTACATAAAGCAACGTTAGTAAATCCTCTTGTTTCCAGTTTCTATACTGGAAACCAGCATGAAGCTTCATTATCTTGTGAAATTGTAGCTTTTTCCGCAGAGATGAAGATGACAGATTAGAGTAAATTGGATGACAGATTAGTTTAGTGTCGACTGTCTGCGCAGCAATAATTTACCATGAAGGTTAACAAATCGAAATAATTTCTCTCTCTGTGTGTTTGAGCGATCTGACTGATTTGTTGTGCTTGATCAGCTCTTAACTTGGTCTAAATGCCTCAAAGTTCTTACTGTACTCTGAAAACTCAAAGTTGGAGGAAATTAAAATGACAAAATTACATTTTAATCTCAGGCTCATTTTTTTATGTTTTAGCATCATGAGCTAAAGCTAAAGATTTTACTGCTGCCTCTATCAATTTGACTATATTACAGTTAAAATTATCAGTAGGACTCTTTTTTTTAATGTTTTATGTTAATGTTTTAAGTATTTCCTACACAAAGAACAGGACATGTAGTCGGTTTCAGTTTTAAGTTTTTACACTTATTAAGTAGAGACTGCTGCGGTTGATCAGCTAACGCTGCTATTAGCGAAGCTAACACAGCAGTGGTAAATTAGCAATTAGCTAATAGCTCATTTAAACACCTGCTGTACTGATGATCTGTCAGAGTTGGTGTTTAAATCACCTTTTTTGTAACTGAACCAAATTCCACATCACATCTACATCTTGAGATTGTCAAAGTCAAGCTAGCATAGCTGAAGTGCTTCCCTCTCCTTCGCCATTTATTTCTTCCTTAAAACTTTTTCCTAATTTTGTCATGTGGTCAACAATTAGTAGCAAAGCGCTGTGTCCTTTTTTATCTTCTATATCAGGCATGCATTTAAGATTTAGCGTGTTACAATGATAACATGCTAGTCATGGTGAGCGAGCAGCTTTTCGCCCTCGAACTGGGAGACGGGGGCAGGATCGTGACGTCGCGCTGCACGGCGTCCATAGCCGTATATCAGGATTGTTTTAAAGTGATCGCAAAGTCATGGATGAACTCCATATTCTGATTTATGCCTTTTCTAATCTTGGAGGGTGTTCAATTACCTCCTGTATATCTCCCATACCTCCTTGGTCCACATGCAATAAATTTAAGTGTTGCTGTTATGCAAGGTTGAGCCTTTTAACTTTATTGCATATAACTGCGGCTGTTAGTGGTATTTCTTTAGGATATGTTTGTCAGCTCCTGTCATTTTTGTTTGGGTTTTTTTTTGGCGATATGAGGATTTTCTTTTGAGAAATTATTCTTTAAAGTCAATGAGATGTTTTAATTAAACTGCAGGTTTCTCCTGTTTTCAGATCAGTCTAAGCTGAAAATGAGTGCAGTTGGGGAAAGCCCCCTGGACCCTGCCACACCAGAGTCACGCAAGAGGAAGGGCTCGCCATGCGACACATCGGGGCAAAGGTAAGCACGCAGCAACGCTGCAGGCTGATAAACATTACGTCAACAGAGCTGAAGATCATGCAGGCTGTAAATCTTGCAGTGATGCGTAAAAACATGAACCCGATCACATCACAGAAGGCTGCAGTTTGGGGTTCAGGCTGCAGTGCTAAGAAATAAAAAGTTGAGCTGCTTCATTTCCTGATGTTTTATATGTAATGCAGTTTGTTGGTTCGTCAGCTGGTTTTCTTTCCACCGTCTGTCCATTAACAATACTTCCTGCTGTGGCCGTTTCACAGAGACACACTTTTCACACATTTCCCACATACTGATCTGCAACTGATCAGCTGCACTGCATGTTTCTGGATCTGCAGTCCAAGAATGTGCTTCTGCACGGCAAACATCAAAGTATTTCTGATCTAATTTCAGTGTCAATATCTTAGCTTTGTCTTATTTGAGACAAAACTGACTTACAAATAAGTTTTCAGCAACAATAAGAGCTTGTTTTAAGTCAATAATTTCTTAATATTGATTGGAAAGTACTTGTTCCATTTGGAGATAATTTCACAGTTAAATAATCATCCAGTGCAATTATAACTCTTTCATTAATATTAAGAAATTATTTATTTAAAACAAGCTCCTAAATCTTTCTGGAAAGCTACTGTAAGTTAATTTAAGTGTACTAAGATGTTACAGACTAAAAATACTTAAGTTTTTGCAGTGAACAGGAGTTAATGTTAAGTTTCCAGTTTAAACATATAGGGAGGATTTAACTGTTCATATTATGGAAATATGGAAAGAAAGGAAGCAAAACTAACAGACATAAAGAAATCTAAAGTTTTTACTTTGGAAATACCACAAAATTTATGTTATGCATGGGTTTCTTTTCTGAAAAAAAGTTAACAATCTTAACAAAATATAGAAACATTTTCCCTGAGAAACAAAACAGGTTGTTTTTCTCAACAGATAAAAATATCAAAAGTAATCAATACCCTGCTAGTTTCCCTCCTAGTAATCCTGTCAAAAATCAATTATGTTTTCCATTTCGGCTGAGAAATTCCCTTTTGATTATTTGTTTCCAAACTGCTAATAGATTAATTGACTGGTGGTGTTGGTTCTGGCAAACATCCATCTTCTCTGTCCAGTCTTTCTCCCCGCTCAGCAGTTTGCCATGTGTTTCTCTCAGCAGGATGGTGAATTATTGAGGGTATTCTTGTCTGAGCACATCTTCCTGCTGCATCGCCAGCTTCCCATTTTTCACTTCTCTTCCTCCCGCTTCCTGTCGTTCACAGACGGCGTTTTGAAAGCTTCATTATTGAGTAATTAGGGAGCTTTTTGCCTGCAGGGGCAGTTCACGCTTTAGTCCGGCTTCTATTCAAAGAGATCACAAAACCAGGAAAATCATGTTAGATACATGTTTAAATACTCAATTCTGTCATGTTAATTAATTTTCTTTCATTTAAACATAAATTAAAGGATTTAACTTGGCAAATAGATGTTTATCAACAGAATGCTGTGAGATCAGCAATGATTTCACAGAAGCAACTGTGAATTTTTTATGGAATTAAGCAATTTAAAATGTATTTATTTACAACTAAATAATACTAAAAGTTTTGCTTTAGTCCCTGAGCCTTCAAGAACTTCTGAGTTGACTTGGATTCAGCCCAAGTGAAACTTGACTTGGCCTTAAATGACTTGACATTTGTTTCAACCTTCAGTAACTTGTGACTTGACTTGGATTTGCCCTCAATGACTTGAGACGTGACCTTCAACAACCTCTGATTTGACTGGAACTTATTCCTCACTGACTTGTGACTTGATTTTCACTTGCCCTCAATGGTCACTACTTTATTTTATTTATGTATCAATGAGATTTGTCAAGGAGTCGTGATTTACAGCTCATTTGTTTGCTGCAGTGTGGAGAAGCGGAGGCGGGAGTTGGAGTGCCGCTACATCGAGGATCTGGCTGAGCTGGTGTCGTCCAACATGGGCGACATTGCCAGTGTGAGCGCCAAGCCGGACAAGTGCCACATCCTGAGGAGCACCGTGGACCAAATCCAGCAGTTAAAACGGCGGGAGCAGGGTGAGGAGAGCCTCGGCTTTAGAACCTCACGTAACCGTGACCAGCAAGAGGCTGGATCTGAATCACTTTCCTCATGACAGAGAAAGCAGCTCTTCTGTCTCCAGACGACGACGTGCAGAAGAGCGACGTCTCCTCTAGCAGTCAGGGTCTGGTGGAGAAAGAGGCGCTGGGGCCGATGCTGCTGGAGGTAAGCTGAGGATGAGTTCACCTTGGCCGTGTTTAGTCCGGTTCGTTTGGGGATCCGCGATCGGACCCTGATGCGCATCAGAAAAGCAAACCTTGGTCAACCTACTAACTTAGTTATCGGTCCTATGAAAGTGAACTCTGGCGCAGTTCGAATGCCAACGTGAACGCCAAGCAGATGGTTGATGCCTCCAAAAGCAGGAAGTAAAATACTGAGCAGGGCATTCTGGGTAAATACAACCAACGCAAAGTTGCAAGCCTAGCGCCAGTTGAAGAAATGGCTCGTGTTCTTTTACCAAAGATAAAAATTTACTAAAATTTGATGCCACTCCATTTTTGCTTACGTTTTGTGAAGAAGGAAGTTACGCTCTGTGTCGTTTTTAGAAGTTTTTGTGCCCTTTCTTTCATTAGTTTGTGGCTTAGCGCCCCCACAGGCGAGGAGGGAAACAGCTTTTTAAATGAGTTTGGTTCATTTGACACGGTGCAATATGAAAGCAAACTGAAAATATAACAAATGTTGATCTCCAATCGAACCGACTCTACCGGTCTAACGGCCTAAAGACTCAGATTCTCCTCTGCTGCTTTCATCACTCTGTCTAAATTTTCATGCAGGCCCTGGACGGATTCTTCTTTGTGGTCAATTGCGAAGGCCGCATCGTCTTCGTTTCTGAGAACGTGATCGGTTACCTTGGATACACCCAGGAGGAGCTGATAAACTCGAGCGTCTACACCATCCTCCACGTGGGAGATCACAATGAATTTGTCCGCAATCTGCTGCCTAAAAGCCTCGGTGAGTGATCTCAGTTTGGATTCACAAGGAGAAGAAAGAAGAAGCAGGCAGGAAAGCTGAGAAAAAAGCGAAATGAAGTTCTAAGCTGCAAAGTAAAGTTGGGGCATAAACTGTGCAGAGGAAGAGCAAACGTGGGGGAGTGTAATGAGAAACAATACCTTCATTCAGCGCGATGAAGTTATTTCACTGTTTGGTTTTGCAGAACAACCTTGAGGAGAGATTATAATGAAAATGGAGATAACTGGGTGCAGCAAACGGCAAGGTCAAACAGCTGCATGTTCTCATTCCAACAGCTGCAGCCGTTAGAGCAGAACAGCCGTTTTCCCAGAGGAAAGGTGGAGACTCTCAAATAATTTACATGATCAATTATTTTCAGGTGAAGCAGAAGAGTTTTTGCAGCCCTAAAATATTCAGAACTTTAAAACGAAAGATTGGATCAGTTTATTTCTGTTTTCTAGAGTGATGCAAACAATACAGAAAATGATGGATGGAGGATGGATGGATGATGGATGGATGGATGGATGGATGGATGGATGGATGGATGGATGGATGGATGGATGGATGGATGGATGGATGGATGGATGGATGGATGGATGGATGGATGGATGGATGGATGGATGGATGGATGGATGGGATGGGATGGATGGATGGATGGATGGATGGATGGATGGATGGATGGATGGATGGATGGATGGATGGATGGATGGATGGATGGATGGATGGATGGATGGATGGATGGATGGATGGATGGATGGATGGATGGGATGGATGGATGGATGGATGGATGGATGGATGGATGGATGGATGGATGGATGGATGGATGGATGGATGGATGGATGGATGGATGGATGGATGGATGGATGGATGGATGGATGGATGGATGGATGGATGGATGGATGGATGGATGGATGGATGGATGGATGGATGGATGGATGGATGGATGGATGGATGGATGGATGGATATGGATGGATGGATGGATGGATGGATGGATGGATGATGGATGGATGGATGGATGGATGGATGGATGGATGGATGGATGGATGGATGTGGATGGATGGATGGATGGTGGATGGATGGATGGATGGATGGATGGATGGATGGATGGATGGATGGATGGATGGATGGATGGATGGATGGATGGATGGATGGATGGATGGATGGATGGATGGATGGATGGATGGATGGATGGATGGATGGGTGGTGGGTGGGTGGGTGGGTGGGTGGGTGGGTGGGTGGGTGGGTGGGTGGGTGGGTGGGTGGGTGGGTGAGATGAATGGTTGAATAAATAGATGTTTTTCTGTTCTCATGTTTAAAGTGTCTCTTCTTCTTGTCTCCGTTTCTCCGCCCGGCCAGTGAACAGCACGCCGTGGCCGCAGGAAGCCGGCCGCAGGAGCAGCCACACCTTTAACTGTCGCATGCTGAAGCGGCCGCCGGACGAGGCGGACGCCGAGAACCAGGAGGCGCGGCAGCAGTATGAGATCATGCAGTGCTTCACCGTGTCGCATCCGCGGCCCGTCCAGGAGGACGGAGACGGTTCGTCCTCCGTTCGTCCTTCGCTTGCAGTGAAACTTTCACAAATTAAACCAAACAAGATTCACTCTGCATTTTTCTGAACCCCCGTCATGCCGGCTATCTCAGGAATGAATCCAATTTAAAAAAATAATTGGTTTGGAACAACTTGATTTTGCCATGACTGAAAGTTTAAAGTTTTTCTTGAAGTTTGATGTTTTTCTGGCCCTGCCGGTCGGAGCATCAGTAGACTGTCTCCACTGGTGCAGTGGCCTTGATAAATTCTGTTATGCAGTTTCTGCATTGCAGATTTTTGGCTGCTCAGCTCTCTGGGTCTTTTTGTCATTTTGGTCGGATCCGGCCTTGGAGGATGTCATGTTTAAAGTGTCTTCTCTTTTCCTGTCGAAATGCAGGAATTTATCCCCTTTAATTCTGCTCCTTTGAAAGAAAGCTTCTTTTGACATGTAATTAATTTCTTTGAGTTTTTTTTGCGTTTCAGACTTGCAAAGCTGCCTGATCTGCATCGCCTGTCGCATTCCACGCACCGAGTCTTTTATTACAAAGCAGGACCCGACAGGTAAAATCTCCCACATCGCATGCAGGATCCCAACGACGCTCAATTTATTCCACCTGGATTTTTCTCAATATTGTCCTGCCAATAAATTAAAATGAATCAATAATTCTTACTCAAAAGTGAGACAAATCTTTCAAGTTATGTAAGTTCTTCAATAATACCTCCTTCTGCCCAAAGCTCCATTATAACCTTTGACCTCTTGTGCTTTAGAGGTTTTGTTGTGCTTCATTTAAACAGCAAAGACTCAAAGGTACAACAGCGTCTTAAGGCCGTTGGAGATTTAAAGAAACAAAAGGAAAACACCAAAAATCAAGAAAATTTGTGAGTTTGAAAAGTAAACAAAATGGCCTGAAGAAGCATCGAAATTTGGGAGTTTTAAAACTCAAATGTTTTTAAACTCATAAAGTTCAGTGTTAAATTAAAAATTTCTGAGATTTGATGCAGAAAAATTTGAATTTTCAGGCTAAAACATTTCCAAGTCTTTTGAAAAACAAAATTGTTTCATTTTTCTGGTAAATTTTCACACTCAGAAAATTTGAAGATTTTTTTTCCCAAAAAATTCTGAAATCAAATGCAAAATATGAGATTTTTCTAGTAGTTTATTAACTTTTCAAACTCTGAAATTTCCATAGTTTTTGTACAAAAAATTTTAGATTAATCTCTATATTTGTGAGGTTTTTCTGGCAAACTTTCAAACATTTTTGTGTATTTTTTCTGGAAAGTTTCTGATGCGAAGCTCAGTTTTTGGATTATTTGGCAGAAATGTTTTCATTTTGTGAGTTTTTCTTTTTTACCTGCAGTGGCCCTAACACTGTCGTACAAAGGTTCTCTTGAGTCTGTGCAATAAATGAATTATATCTGTCATTATTCATACAAAGGATTTCATCTCCACTAAATTTAATATCTAAATTTAAAGCCTTAAAGTGTCTCAAATTCATATTAAAGACCAGGTTGGCCTTTGATATGTTAATTACCGGCCTTAAATTTTGTCTTGGCAAGACTGCTTAATCACCCATACTCTATGTTTTATTTATGGCTGGACTTTTCTGTCAGGCAAAAGTTTGAGTCGCACCAATAACTCACTGCTAACGTACCTTTGCTAGCAAGCTAACTCTTTTGTGCCTGTCGTGGCTAAGCGAAAATTTATGGCCAGTTAGCTGGGTGAAGTTCGTACATTTCTGTGAAGATATAGGTCTAAAATTGAATTAATGCAGGTCTTAAAAAGTCTTAATTTTGACATGTGATCTCAATAGCAATTAGAACATAAGAATCCTGCAAAATGTCCAAATGGGCAGAAAGTCTCATAATTTTTCACTAAATTAATGTACTTACTACCAAATAATTGGTCCTGAGCTTGTCGGCTGCTGCGCCTGCAGCTGATCTTTTGTGTCTCCGTGATCCAGGGAAGATCATCTCCATAGAAACCAGCGCTCTGCGAGCAACAGGCCGGCCTGGCTGGGAGGACCTGGTCAGGAAGTGCATCTACGCGTTTTTTCAGCCGCAGGGCAAGGAGCCCTCGCATGCCAAGAAGCTGCTGCATGAAGGTGAGCAGCAACAAAACCCACTGACGCATCTAAATGCGTCTTATGCAGCATCATTAGCAGAAAACAGCAAACCGTCGCGTTGCAGATGCTTCATCAATTAGAGACTCATCGTTTCAGACACAAAATGAAGAGTTAAAAGGAATTATCAGCTTAATAAAGAATGTGTTTCACCAAAAATATTAATTTGAGTGAAAGGTCAAAGTGTGGCACCAAAAATATAATACAAGTAAAAACTTATATTGTATAGATTCTTTACACAAGGAAATAGAACACAATAAATGATTTTTAAAAATTTGGGTTGTAATTTTAATCATTTTTATTATAGAATATAAAAATTTAGAGAATTGAATAAAATAAAATATCAACAATTTATATTTGATGATTTTTATTTTTTTTGCTTTTCAAAAAAAAAAATTAGAGAAAGTTGAGTGGAAGGAAAAAGTACAAAAATTACCAATAAAGAAACTTATATTGGCCTGAATCTTTACACGTGAAAATATAATAAAATAAAATGTTGCAAGAATTGATTTATTTTTTGTAATTTTGATGAGTTTTGCTTGTCGAAAATAAAGAATTAGAAAATGTTGAGTGAAAGGAAAAGGATACCACAAGTGAGACACAGAAGTACAATAAGAAAAACTATTTTTACAAATATTTTTGTATTTTTGCTTATAAAAAATGAAAATGTAGAGAAAGTTGAGTAGGAGGAAAGAAACGGGTGAACAAAACAAACATCCAGACGGATTAGAGAGACTTTGGGGATAAACCCAGAGATGATGGCTTAGTTTAACGTTTTTCTGTCTCTGTCAGTGATGGCGCACGGCACCGCCGTCAGCCCTCTGTACCGATTCACGCTGAGTGACGGGACACGGCTCAGCGCTCAGACTCGCTGCAAGTTCTGCTGCCCACCAAAACCCGACGTTCAGCCCTTCATCATGGGCATCCACACTATTGACAGGTATCCCACCGACACCGATCGTCCTAAAAACACAAATCCTCTGGATTTCATTCATGTTTCATACCAAGAAAGTTACTTGGATTTTTTAAAATGTGAAAAGTTTCCAGTGCGTTTGATTTAAAGTAGGGCTGCAGCGAACAATTACATTAGTAAATGATTAAAGTATTGATTATTCTGGCGATTAATCAAGCAATCGGATGATAACATCACTTATCGATCCAGTGAAACGTCTCATTGGATCATTAAATCCATTAATTGAACAATTACTTATTTAGTTTTGAATCAATCATTATTAATCTGATCGTCTTACCCAGAACTCCTCAAGTTGCAGTTTTACCTTCATCTGGTTCAAATTTTGCAACAAAAGAAGAATCTCCTATTATTTTTATTTATTAGTCAATGCAAGAAACAATAAACAAATCAGCTGTCTCTCTCTCTCTCTCTCTCTCTCTCTTTCTCTCTCTCTCTCTCTCAGGGAACACAACACTGCTAGCTCTCAGGAAAACACTAACCCCAGCCTTCCTCTGACCCCCAGCAGTATTGCTCACACCCCGTCCCGCTCCCCTTCGCTCCCCCCCGGCAGTAACTCAAACCAAGGCTCTGTCCTTCACGCCAACAACAGCGGACTCAACCCCTCCACACCAACAGGCTACCTGACGCCCAACCGGACGAACTGCCCCCAGGAGGTCAGCAGTCCCTCGGCTCTCAGCAGCCCTCACACAGCCACCTCTACCTCGTTTATATCGCCCAGGATGCCGCGAGCCAGTCCTGGGTTGGGGGGAAGCCCTCAGGTCCCGGGGAACCCATTCTCCCCCTCCACGCCGGGGCTCCAGTCCCCATCCGGGGCGCTGAGCGGCGGTGGGTCGGCAGGGTCTTTCCCCCTGTCGTCTCCTGGACTTCAGAGACAAGCCAGTATGCCCACTGGCTCCTCCACTCGCCCGCTATCAGCAAAGCCCCAAAAGGGAGCGGGAGAGGACTCGAATAAAGCCCCCCTTCCATCTGCCTCACCGCCGAGACTCAACCAGCCCCTGGACAGCAGTGTCACAGGAGCCGAATCCAACAACAACAAAAACTCATCACCTCATCCTCCTCACCCCTCCCTGGGTCCTCAGTGCCCCGCTTCCCACAGCAGTCTGACGGAGCGGCACAAGATCCTGCACCGGCTGCTCCAGGACAGCAGTCCCAACGACGCCGCCGCCGCAGAGGACGGAGGGAATAAAAATGAAGTTGAGATCAAGAAGGAGCCGCCGGTCAGTCCGGCGCTGAGCACAGCGTCCCACAAGTCCAACTCCAGAGAGCCGCAGGACCACCAGTTACTGCGATTTCTCCTGGATATGGACGAAAAGGTGACTTTCACTCATTTCTTCATCTCTTTCACCAACAGCTTCTCAACTAGAGCTGGAACGATTGATCAAATCAATGATGATTAATCATTGATTGAAATGATCGTCAACTAATTTAGTAATCAATTAATCGTCAACTTTAATATACAAACTCAAAAAAGTCCATATGCTGACAGAACAATCCACTCAGTAGGAAACAGTAACTAAAACAACACAAAATATAAACATTTTGCATTTGACATAAAAAATTATTTGTCTGTAAATAAACCTGGAACAGCCGGGTCCAACTTCACCTGGTACAAATTCTGCAATTTAATCTCCTGTTAAGTACCTTTTGCCATCCAGTTATTAATCCAAAATAATCAATAAATCCTGAATTTATAATATTGTATAAAAAGGTTTACATCAAAAATTTGCAGAATATGCCCATTTTTATCCAGTTAATCAATTTATCATCAGCGTAATCAGTTAGCGTAACAGATTACTCGTTAGTTATTTAACTGTCAGAGTGATTAGTCATCAAAATACGAGAGTAACTGCCAGATTAATCGTTCTAGTAATTGTTCGATTATTTAATTACTAACATAATTGCTGGCTTCAGCCCTAACTCTAACCAAATGTGTCTGTGAAGGACTTGGGCGAGCTTCCGCCTCCGTCAGCCCTGAGCCTCCAGACGGTCCGGGTGAAGGTGGAGAAGAGAGCCAGCGGCGACGGCCTCCCCTGCTCGGGTCCGTCCGTCCCGGCCGGCGGGACGCCCAAACCACCAGGCGTCCCTGTTGGCTCGGCGGGCGTCAGCCCCAAGTCCAGTCCTCTGGGAGAGAACTGCAGAGACTCCACGGTACGCTGCAGCCTGAAATCAACACGTTTATCGCTCTTCTTTCACGTTTCATCTCCTCTCATTTCATCTTGTCAGATTACACTTATCTTTCTAATTTTCTAATAAAGTCATTTATCATCTGAAAAGAGGATTTTGGACCACTGAGGAATCTCTCACTAATCCTTGAGTGCACTTTTTCCTTCCACTCAATTTTTTATGAATATGCTTATTTTTCGTTGGGTTTTCATTAACGTTGCACCAACAATTCGTCCCCGATTTTCTTACTTTTGGGAGATTGGTGATCAGCCGGTACTTGCATGTGAAGTTGATTTTAACTACTTTGGCAAAAGTCTAAAAATTAATTCCTATAGACCAGTAGAAGGAGCGGTTTATTCATAAAACAATATCATAAGCCATTAAATCAAAATAAACCACAACAATAACCTGCCTGTGTCTGGATCCAGTTAACGACGGCATGATGAGTCATTTCTATGTTTAAGAGTTTACAAGAAGGCTGCGACTGACAGAAACATTTCCTTCTGGGAGCTTTTCATAAAAACAAGACGATTGTTTATTTTCACGGACTTTGGAAGCCAATCCTTTACACTCGCATGGTAAAACGTTATATGAGATCCTGGTAATGTGCATAAAACTGACAGTGTCAACTTTGCATTATTTGGTAAATAATTAATTTTTTTTTGTTGCAAAGTTTCATTGAAACTTGCATTAAAAGTAATATTCTGTAAATAATAACTTCACAAAATAATCAACTCAAATTCCATTAAAAGTATCAACTTTTCCATATTCTGTAATTAATTACATTTTTAGTGCAAATTTTAAAGTTTCATTTAAGATTTATTAATTTGTATTTGTTAAATAATGACACTTTTAACGCAAAATTGCATTAAAACTGTCAATTTGCAATAATCTGCAATAAACGATTACATTTTAATCCAAAGTTGAATTAAAAGTTGCATAAAAAGTTCAGTGTTTATTGAATGAATCTTCATGACAACAGTTATAAACATTCACAGACTCCTTCATGCTTATGTCAGACTCTCTCCTTTAAATAAAGTGTTACCACCTGTCCACATGTTTAGATTTGCTCTGTTTGTCTGTAGTTATCTGTTGGACCTGCCGATCCGGACGCGCTCAGCCAGCTTCTGCCCGGCCTCAGAGGTCCGCTCGGAGCCAAGCAGGGTGGCGAGGAGTCGGCGAATCCCGGCGGAGGCGCAGAGCTCCACTCTCCCTCCACGCAGCTCCCAGCTCCGCTCCAGTCCCCAGTGCCTCACCTCCAGTCGCCCCTGTCCCAGCCTCAGTCTGTCCCCCAGCTGCAGTCCCCGTCGCCACAGCTGCACTCCCCGTCCCACCAGGTCAAGCTGCAGTCCCCCGCTCACCTGCAGCCCGGTGAGGTTTGCACTCCCCGCAACGTAAATGTGAAGAGAGAGCCGCCAGGGACTCCCAACAGAGGTACGGCCCTCACTTTGTGTCAAAAGTCAACAACATGTGAAGTCGAGCAGTTTTGGTGTATTTTTTTTTTTTCACATAATGAATGAAGCGGACTGAACAGAACCGATGTGGCCTCTTGACCTTTGCGTTCTGGTTTCAGGACTTGCTGATGGCGTCCCGACCTCAGGCTGCAGCCTCCAGACACAGCCATCGTTTGATTTTTGCAACCCTGCCACTCCAAGCCACCAACAGGGAGACCTCTTCCAGACCCCTAAGGATAGCAGCCCTTTTCCAGAGACCGAAGTCATCAACCCTTTTGCTCCGAGTACTGGTACAGAAGAACTAAAGAACCAGTCAAAATGATAAAAACACAATTTAACTTACATCGAATGAAGAGAAACTTGCACTTTCTTAGACAGTTTTCTATAATCTGTCACATACGTGAATCTTTTCCAACTGTCTGACAGTCAGATCAGATAAAAGTTCTGAAATTCTTCTCCAGGGCCGACAAAGATGGATGTGGGAGATTCCCAGTTCCAGCCTCTGGCTCTGACTGACACTTTGTCTTTTGATGGACATGGAGCTCCTTTACAATCCTCCTTAGCGTCACCACAAGAGTAAGTGCAAGTATTGACACAGTTTATTGTAGTATTTTAATTAACAAGTTTGTCTCTGCAGGAGTTTTGCTCCAATATTTCTACCTGAACATCCAGGGAGAATAGCTTCTTAATCATATTTTTGAAGTGACTCTCTGGTCAAAGTAATTAACTGGTTCAAACTTAAAGAACTTTCTTGTGTCAGTAGTTAATTTCTCATCGGAGCTGAGAAGAATTATATGTGGAGTTCCCCAAGGTTCTTTCTTGGACTCCTCTTATTTAATACCGACATGCTCCCACTAACGCTGATTATAAAAGTGAATAAGATTAGATATCACAGCTGTCCAGATGATAAGGTCAGCTTAAAAGGTCAATAAAGGAGCCATGTTGTGACAACTTCCTGGAGCTTCAGAAAGAGCAGGAGTTTCTTAAAGAAACAGAGGCCGAATTTCAGTCTGTTAAATTACGACTTCAAATGTCTTTTAAATCATATTTAATATGCCACATTTTTATAACAACTGAAGGCAACATAGTCACTTGATTGTGCTATAAAATCAAGCATAATTCTTCCCCTTCAAAGTCCGCCAAGGTATTCTGGTTCTGGTCTGCTCTGCATCTCCAGAACCAAACCTGGAGAGGCAGCATTCAGCTTCTATGCACCACAGATCTGGAACAAACTTCCAGAAAACTGTATAACAACCGAAAGACTGAGTTTCTTTAAATCAAAGCTAGAAAACCCATTTGTTTAGAGCTGCCTTTCATTAATAATAACTGGAATATCATTAGTTTTATTCCAGTTTGTTACACAAATAAACCAAATCACTTATTCTCCTTTTTTGGTGTATTTTCCCTCATTGGGCCAAATAATCATGCATTATTCTGAAGTGTCTTATGATTTCTGTGCTGATAATATTAAACTCTAATGGTCTTTAGCTCTGTTTTTTGTTCTGCATGATGTAATCTGGTTCTGTTTCCGGGAGCAGACAGCGTGTGCCGTGTACGCTGGACGAAGAGCTGGGCCCGCCGACCACGCCTGAAGCCCGAAACGATGAGAAGGCTCTGATCGAGCAGCTCGTGTCCTTCCTGAGCGGGACGGACGAGAGCGAACTGGCCGAACTGGACAAGGCCCTGGGGATCGACAAACTGGTTCAGGTAACCCAGTAAACTTCTTGGATTGGCTGGAAACGATGCAGAAAATGGAGGAAAACAAAAACACAGGGTCAGCGTCAGGGTTTGAACCGGTGGTTAAAATGCCTGAATTTCAGTTAAATGTTTTCAAGGTTTTGATTTCTGCACAATGTTCTTGATATTCAAACTGCACAGTTTGGTAACAAAATTCAGCTGATATTCCTCATAAAAGGACAGATTCATGTTTTGTCACTGTCTGAAGTTAAATCGGACTAAACTGGTTTCAAGTCAGTTAGAATCACCAACATTATTTGCTATTTGCTAAAATCTTTCAGAGATTTTAATCTGAGATAATTTACCTAAAGTACCAGCACATAGCTTCAGTCATTACAGCTGGAAACCAGAGATCTCTGAACATTCAGAGTCATATAAAGATGGTTACAAAGTCAGCCTTCTATCAGCTGGATAGAACCTGAATTTAAGATTTTTAAGGCTTTTTCAGTCAGTCTCATGTGCTTACAACTTGTTTCTTGGTGATTTAATCGTAATGAATGCATTTTTCCCCCCTGCAGGGTGGCTGCTTTGACCCTTTCCCCCAAAATGTCCCACCCCAGCAACCCACTGCCACCCCGGTTTCCATAGACCCCAAACCGCCCACCTACCCCTCCAAGTTCCCTCTGGCGTCACAGGCTCTATTTCCTCCAGAGCTGGCTGCGGTGGGGCAGCAGGGCGTAACGTTCGGAGCCCCCCGCGGGGCTTTCCCCCTGGGGCTGAGGCCCGGCATGACCAGACCGCAGGGAATCGGCCCCCAGCTCAGGCTGCTGCCCAACCAACTGCGGCTGCAGCTGCAGCAGAGGCTGCAGGGCCCGCAGCAGGTGAGACTGTTGCTGCTTATGCTGCGTCTATCGATTCAGAGCTTTCAATGTCTTGAGTCACTTCTGTGCCTAATGCATAGAAACATTATGGATGTAATTTATTTACGGTTGTAGTGCTGTTAACAAAAGGACAGAGTGTTATCCGTAACAAGAGTCAGACAGAAACACTCGTACTTCTTTTGGTGGTATTGATTTGCTGCCCTTTGCGTCCGTCTGAGTCACACTTCATCATGACGAGTCTCCTTTCTTCTCCTCATATTGATTAAGAAGCTCTTAGAGAGAGCTCCACTTCCCGCCTCACTAATATCCATCTCATCATGTCGGACTCTTTACTTATTTATTTTAAAGAGGACCTGTTTTGCAAACCTCACATTTTGCATCAGAGAACTTCCATTGGTTCTCTGCTGCGTCTAAAAACGTTTTTGGTAATAAATGTTTTTGTTTTCCTGGCAGTGAACTTCCTGTAAGAGTTTTCTACTTTTTTTGCTTTAAACGAAGGCGTCTGAGTAAACAAACTTCCTGAAGTATTCATACCTCTTCTGTCATTTTGTGCCTTTACAACCTATAATTTTATTGTATTTTATGCAGATTTTATGTGATGTTATTGCGGTGTGGGAGAACAAGCTGCAAGACGGTTTAAGAATCTTTCTAATGATAGAAATCTGATACTTTTGTCTTTTGGCTCTATGAATCTTAAAATAAAAACCACCGTGATACTTTTTGGCAACAAGTCGATGTCTATTTGGTGTCTGGAAAATGAGCCGTTTTAAACACCTCCCTATTGTTAAGTTACGTTCTGCGTGCACCGTGCAGTTGCCTAGCAACATCAAAAGACTTCCGCCTGTCACCTAGCAACCACAGCAGAGCTCCAGCATGTTTGGTCAGCTGGTTTTACTGCTTTATGAGCTGTACAATGTCTGCTGGGGAAAAAAGGAACCAACCTACTATCATCCAGAAACCAGATGATTGGAGATTGGTTTTGCAGGAGGCTCCACTTCTGCTTTTCAAAGATCTACAGTTGTAAAATTTGCAACCATTTTCACGTGTGAGTGTAAACTTTGATTTTGAGGGGGCGTGGCCAGCAGCAGCTTATTTTGAGTAACAGAGCAATAAAACAGTTTAAAATATGCCGAACTGAACAGATTAAAATCTTATCTGATGATGAGTTTGTTCACAAAAATGTAAATGTAAAATGTTTTGTTTAGCCCTGAGACCTATCCTCTTCAAGGAAGCAAAGTAGTTCACTTTTAACAGCCAAATTTCTTCTTTCCTTTTATTTCCAGCTCCAGAACCGGCTGGCAGCCATGAATTCATTCTCAGGAGGAACCCAGCAAGTGAACATGGGGGTCCGACAGGCGGTCCAGCTACCCCAAATGTCCTCACAGGTCAGTCAGGACATTATCTCTCTAAAATATAAAAACCGCATGTTGCAGCTAAATGTACTAATGACGTAGAAACAACACGGTGTTTATCCGTCATTGTTAGTGGCCTTGCTGACTAGTCTTAGCATTCACAGCACACTTTGCTAGCTGCAGCATAGCAGAGAGTAAGAAATGGAGGGTGATTAACTGCGCTAAGACCCGCCCCCTGGCTCTGATTGGTTGTTTCTAGTTAGCACAGAAACATTGCAGAAGAGCTCAATTTTTGCTTTACATTTAATTTTATTTGTTGTTTCTGTTATTTTGGATATTTAGAATTTCTTCCAGTCCCAGGGTAAAGTGTTCATTGGAAGGTAAAGTTTGTTTATTTTTGACAACATGGTCAATTCAAATATAATTTATAATATCTGGGTAGCAGAGGCAGAATTCTGCCATGTTTGCAAGCTCTGCTAATCCAACTCATATGCTTTTGATGCTGCTCTTTAATCTCTGTCTTTGCAGAGAGATGTTGGAGTAGGGGATGTGTTCAGTTCACATAAAATACAATTTAAAATATCCGAGAAGCAGAGGTGAAATTCAATAGCATGTCTGTGATGACAGTATCACTGCGAATTCATATTATTTGCTTTTGTTGTCCTTCTTTAAGTGAGATGAGAGATGTTGGAGTAGGGGATTGATGGCAGTTTGAACATTCTCCTCTTATTGACTTAAAGCAACCTATATCTTGCTGGAAAGTTAGTTTTGTCTCATTTCACATTTATTCAGATAAACTTGGTGATTTGCAGTGCAATAATGTTTGGGACAAAGTAGGTTTGTAGAAGCTAAATTTGTTGTGTTGCAAATTGCTTTAGCAGCCGCCGCTGAATGCCCAGATGCTAGCGCAGCGTCAGAGGGAGCTCTACAGCATCCACCACCGGCAGCAGCAGCAGCAGCTCCTCCAGCACAAGGTCAGGCTCATGAGACAGAACATGGTGGCGGGCGCGCCGGCCGGGGGCCCGGGAACCCCCAGGACCCCCAAAGGCTCCCCGACGACGTCTCAGCAGCAGTTCAGCTTCCCGCCGGGGTTTGCCCCAATGGCGGGCAGCACCCCTACCTCACCGAGTCACTTCAGCTCCAAACCCGGGGCCCCGCTGGACACCAAGAAGTCCGCCAGGGGGCCCCTGAGCAACCAGGCGCTGCTGGGTGGCTTACAGGGCCAGTTTGACGGCGCCGGCAACCCGATGATGCAGCAAGGGCTGTTTCAGCAGTTTGGAGGGTCTGGTGAGTTCAAGAAAGCTGGGATATTAAGGCGTTCAGGGTTCATCTAAGGTCAGGATCTGAAGACAAAACATTGGAAAAGACGGTTTACAGACTCTTTCTTACAGCCGTCAATCGCTTCATTCATCCCTTCATCCAAATTCGTCTAACACACATCTGTCCAGTAGCCAACTGGCAACCTTTCTGTCCAATTCTCATGTCTTTCTTTCTATTCTTTTTTCTGATATTCATCTCTTTCTGTCTCTCCTTTTGTCCAACATTAATTTCCTTCTATGGATGCTCAATCATTTGACTGTTCCTCTGTTTGAGCACTTTTTGCATCTCTGTCCTTATTTCATGTTTCTTCAGCCTATATGCTTTTAAATGTCTTAAAAAGTTAAATGTTGCATTTACACTTTGAAAATCCTCCAAAAAACTAGTCTGAGATTTGATTCTGAAAATGTTTTGATATTTTGAGATAGAAATATATCTTAAAAGAAGTTCCAGACACACTAAAGATGCATTTTATAAGCAGACATTTTACAGCTGGATTCCAGTTTTGTGATGAAACGGTTTCTTTGCCACAGCTGCAGTGCAACAAGACCCCCCATTTCCTCCTGAGATGAGCCCCACAAGTCCATTGTTATCACCTCAGAACTCCACCTCCCAGAGTCCCCTGCTTCAGCAGGCACCAACTCCTGGCTACCAGTCACCAGACATGAAGAGCTGGCAGCAGACAGGCCTGGGCGGGTAAGGACTCTATTTCATTATCGATGCTTTTCTCATGAATTCATGGCTTGTATTACATTGAATCTGTACTCCTTTCTGCTCCTACAGCCTGTTCAGTCAGTCAGGACAGAGTGCAGGGCAGGCGTTTGGCCAGCAGGGGGTGTACAACAACATGAGCATCACAGTCTCCATGGCTGGAGGCTCAGGCGACGTCAGCTCTTTACCTCCCATGGGACAGGCGGTTGGAATGAGCAACAGTAACCTCAACAACGTCAGCGCAGTGTGCAGCGACCAGCAGGTTGGTGAGACCTTCGCACTAATGGTTAGAAAGATGTTGGAGTAGGGGACACGGTCAATTCAGTTTCAAAAATACACGATTTATTCCAATTGGAAATTAAATGTTGTGACTAGTTAGCACACAGTTAGTCATAACTCATAACATCCCGAGTATTTTCTAAAAGTGGTTGTCGATGGTGAAGCTGTGCTGCGATCAGCGTCGCTACGACTAACTGAAGAGTCGTAGCAACTCTTACAGTTCGTAGCATGTCATCACTGAGAGCTAGCAGGTCAAATTCAGGGCAGTGTTGGCGATATTTAACAAGTCTGGGTGACATCATCAGTGGTTGCCAACTATTGATCATCCACTTCATTTGATTTCTTTCTGGACAGAGAGATGTTGGAGTAGGGGATATGGTCAATTCAAATAAAAAATATTTCTTAATATCCAGGCAGCAGAGGCAAAATACAATAGTAACATGTCCTTGATGATAGCATCAGTTGTTAGCTAGCTCTACTTTTGCTGCGCCTCTTTAAATTTCTGTCTGAGCGGAGAGACGTTGGAGTAGGGGATATGATGATGGTTTGAACTTCCTCGTCCATCCACGAAGGCTCATTTTCAACTCTTTGCTTCTGTGTCTGCAGGTGCAGCAGGTCCAGGTGTTTGCTGACGTCCAGTGCACGGTGAACCTCGTCGGGAGCGACTCCTACCTGAACCAGGGCTCGATGGGGGCTGCGGCTCCCCAGAAGGGCCCAGTTCCCCAGGGCTCGCAGACCTCCCAGGCCCAGCAGAAGAGCCTCCTGCAGCAGCTCCTCACTGAGTGACGCCTGCCCCATCCCGTCGCCTCTCCTGCTCCCTCCCACTGTTTTCTACCGCCGCCGATGCTTTGGAGGCCGGCGCATCAGACCCATCGCTGTCTCTGTCTCACCTTTCGGACCGGATGGAGTCGGCGGGTGTCGGTGGAGGGGCCTGGTCACTTCACCGGGTCAGAACTTAAAGGAGCAGCGGTGTTATTTAAACCTGCCTGTCTAATCTGTCTGACAACCTGTCTGTCTGCCTCAGCCTATTAAAGGCAGGGTTGTCTTGCTGCTCATTTCTCTGTGACCTACTTCCTGCTTCCTGACCCAAGACAAAACAACTGCGTCGTCATTGTAGATTTGCCAGGGTTTCGTCACTGTCGAATCAGGGCCGACCTCCTCTTTCTTTCTTCTTTGCTTTCTTCCTTTCTTTCTTGTTTTTTCTGTCTTGATGACGGGAACGCCCGCAACATCCGCAGCACCTTTGGCTTTTTATTCCTTTGTTTGTGTCGTTTCTGTTCGTCTCTTTCTCTCTCAGCGATGTGGGAATGTTAAGGTTTCAGACCTCAGCGGCATTGTGGGATAGAAGCTCAGTATCAGCTGGTTCTGGGACTGGTCCTCTCTATCTGCTGCAGTGCCTGGTGGAAGTGCGAGTTTCTCCCAAGCTCTGCTTCTTCTTTTTTTTTTTCTATTCTGGTTTTATTTTTTATGTTTTGGGTTGTTTAAAAAAAAAAGTCTGCTCTCTCTCAGTCATTATCTTCGTCATTACGACCTCCAGAACAAGCTTTGACACCAACCGGGACGGACAGATGAGTGGGAGTCAGAGGGGATGCTGCTCAGTTTTGAATTTAGATGTCTTTCTTTATTTTTTATTTCTGTCAGAGTATAAAAACAGACTGTTATGATTATTTAACTGTTTTGTCTGTCACATTTAGCCTCACCTCAGCAGATGTGAATCCAGAAGCCCGGCAGGGTTCTTCCTCTCCTCCTCTCGTTCTCTTTCACGGTTCCTCTCAGCCTATCAGTGTTGTTTGCCACGTGCATCATGCAGGCGGGTAATATTTGTACATTACAGAAGGACAAAGACTAACTGCTTTCCTTTTGAGATAAAAAACAATTGTAATTAATTGAATACTCAGAAAAAGAAAAATGTATAATTTGATTCGATCCATTTATTTTTGTTTGTTTTTATTAGATTTAAATAAGTTCTAATGATGTCTCCTCATTTTTTAAATATTTTTTTTGACATATTGTGGCACAGCTACATGTTGCAGTGGAGGAGGAAGTTATTCCAGCTTCTAAAAATGTGAAATTTTAAGCGATTTGACTTTGGAAAAAAATTAGATATTTGTGGCTCCCTTTTTTTTTTTTCCAAACATAAATAGTTTTATTTTCCAGGGAGCTAGTTAGCCATTTTTATTTTTGCTTTCTTCTGTTTTTGTACAAAGAAACATCACATTTGTTTATAACCATTGTATAAAAATTATAATAGCTGAAGTCGCATCGTTTGCTGCCCTGTGCCGCAGCAAATGATGCGCTTTCCGTTATTGTTCCCATATAAAATGAAATTTAAGTAGAGGCTTTAGCTTTAGAACTTCCTAACAAAGATTTGTGATTGGTGATTAATTTAAAGATGTCAGGAATTTGAATTGAGCTTTTTAAACCGTGTTCATCCAATGGGAAACTCCTCTCCCTCCGCCTCTGATGACGTCACTCCGCTGGCTGCTCACATGTACAGTTTTCTGTTGACTACTGTTGATCGGTCATACACTGTCTCTCAAAGTCATAACAGACACAAGGTTTGAAAATAAGAAAGAAAATCCACTTTTTGTCATATAAAAACATCCCTGCTGAGACGTTGCCTTTAAATATGTTAAATTGTTGCAGAAGTAGAAATTCATTTTATACTGAAATGAATCTAGAAGCATCCAGTGGGAAAATAGTGAATTACTATTTCTCTTCCTTCCTGATGGATTGGAGGAAAGAGGCGTCACATTCACTCGATAAAAAATAAACTTTCACTCCAATTCCAACCTATTTCCGATTATAATTAGGTGAATTGCGGCTTTTAAACCCTGAAATATTATGCAAAATGATCGTATTTCAAGTCGACATTCCACTTGTTAACTCCTCCAGTGATGCTGTGTGAGGCGGAAATCACTTTGCACTGTTCATCTGTTTCAAACCAGTCAAAGCAATTAAAATCAACCTGAATCAAACTTTTGAGTTCAGCAAACCAAAAGAAATGTTCCTGTTTGTGTTCAAATTTTGACCGTTTTTGGGGACAAAGGCCACAAATAGACTTAATATCGATCCATGTTTCACCTCAGATGTGTTGGCGAACAATAAATTGTCTTAGTGGAGAAATGGTTTTTAGCTAGCTGCGTTTCCATTTAATTGCGAAGTTTGATATTTTGAAAAAAACAAAATGTTTTTTGCGCTAGGATGAAGTTTTTTTTTTCCCTGCCATATCAAGATTTGTTTACTTCGCTAAACTGCAACAGAAATACTTTTTGCGTCACATGAGTCACATGACTAACAACCAGATATTGCCACTGATGGAAACCATGAAGAAGAAGACAGGAAGTGGTAGGATGATGATGTTTCTGAATAATTCATATGTGATTTAAATTTTGTTTCTTATTTTAAAAAACATGGAAACTGCAAAATTGTGTTTTTTTGACATTAGTGGAATATTTACAAGTTTTGCGTATATTTGTAATGGAAACGCAGCTACTGATTACCAGACAAAATAACTTTTTAGATAAATTGCATGTGATCCCTACTTAATTTTCCACCCAATTAATGCATTTTTACTAAACACAAAAATAAACTAATGGTTTTCCAGATGTCACCCAGAGATTATATTTTCTGTTTTTTTTAAAGATTTCAAAATGTCAGCCCTCATTTGCAAACATTTAAATTCGAGTTCTGAAGTTGATTTTACTGGCAAATTGCAGCAAAATGTTGTTAAATTTGTGCAGCAGATCTGAATACAAAGTGTGTCGTGTTATTAAACGGCAGAGACATTTCCCCACACACAGCATCGCTCCTCTTTCTCTTTCCTGCATGGAAAAGGCATTCCCAAATGGAAACGGTTTCCTCTACAGTCCGGATAATAAACCGAGACACTCAGCAGCTTTAACATGCCAAACACACCCAAAAACAAAAAGGTTAAATGTTTCGTTATGCAACAGCCTTTCAGTGCTAAAACAGCGGTCCCTCCTTCCTCACTACAGTTCGCTGGTATCGGGTTTTTAACATTTGTCTCATGATGTTTATGTATATAACAGAAATGTGAATGCATATTTGTTCAGAATCAACAGAAAAAAAAAACTAGCTCCGAGTTTGTGGTAAATAACTACTCGCCTCTATCATGTTTTTATTTTTCTACCTTCTTATTTTGTTTTAAAGATGATGTATGTTTGTATGTGCGTGAGTGTGCGTGTGTGTAAGCGATTAATACTGTATATTTGGTGTTCTCTGAGATTGAAACAGACGAAGATGTCTTGTTCGGTTTCTCTTTTTGACTTTTTCAGATCCTGCACAGTTACCTGTGAGTGTTTTATTCAGATAAACTATGCCAGAGAATGGTTTGTTTTTATTTTTTAAAGCGACTGCTGAATGTGATTTTACTGAGAGAAAGAGAGAGAGGGAAAGTGAGAGAGAGAGAGAGAAGCGGTGTGGACTGGCTTTTTGTACGGGTTAATTTAAAAGAAAAAAGGCCATATTATTTAATTTTCTCTGTTGACAGAAGGTTTAAGCAGAGTTGGGAGAGTGGAGCCTTGGTTTTCAGGGGAAGCAATGAATTTCTGACTGATCCGTTTGGGTGTTTTTATCATTTTCTGCATCCGTAGTTAAAAAAAAATGACCAAAGCTTCAACGCGTTTGATGGATTTCATATGCAAACCTCCTCGTCACTGGACAGCACATAATGTAGCGGTTCTTCTTCGTTTCTGGTTCTCCTGCACGCTCGTTTTCGTCTTTTCAGAGTGGCCTATCAGCGTTGAAACCCTGTGATGTCCCAAAGTTTGCTCAGTTTAGACTCTGCCAATGCCGTCTTTTTGAGCCCGAAGTGCTATCACGTGTTTACAGGAAAAAAAATAAAATAAACATTGCAACCATTAGCTATGCACCTTACCTAAACAAGCATTTCCTCATTTGTAATGTAGAAGTTACACTGGAGTGACACTAAGCCATTCATTTAAAGATAAAAACAAACCCATGCTTGATGACCTATCAGCTTTCAGTCTCATTCTTCAACCGAATACTTTATACCAAACTTGAGGTGCCTCGTGTATATATTTGCTGATTAACAATAACCTTGTTAAACAGGGTTTTTTCTTTTTAATGTGAAAAAAAAACATTTTTACTGTATAAATGACTTTTTTTACACATGTAAATTAATCAAATTATCCCAGGAACTTGCAAATACAATCTAATTCTGCACTTTATATATCCGGATCCGATCGGGGTGAAAAGGCCATTAAATCAGATTAGCATTCGGAGATGAAGTGGCTCCTGAAAGTCTACAAAACTCAGATTAAATGCAGTTTGACCTTTAGATCATGACAAATTATTTCAAAACTTTTTTTCCACTCCTGTTGTGTTGTATTTTTTGTATTCATCTGAAAAACAAACAAAATATTTAAAAAGTTGTTTTCACATCCTGAATCAGTATTTAGTGTTCTGTTTGTTAGCGTCTTGGGAAGTTTTCTAAGACTCTGAAGTTAAAACATATTTTCATTTATACTGTGGAAATTTTTAATTGCTTTCTTCATGAAGAACATAATTTTTCCAGCGGTGGGTTAACCTGCTAATGTGTTAACTGCAGAGCTACAATTTTGTGTAGCACCTTTGCTGTCGATATTAGCTTCTGCGATGGTTCCAAGATTATTTAAACTGTCAATTTCAATCCACATAAATGTCTAAATTGAACTATTAATGTAGGAAGTAATAATTGTTCACAGGTATTACTGGATTTCAGTTATTTATGAGGCTGTTGGCAGAGCTAGTCCTTTGCTAAGCTAACTTTGAAAACATTTAGCGCACTTAACTTCCCATAAATTAAGAAAATTTATGTTTGCTTGGCTTTGTTGTAAACTTTCGGTTGAATAAATTTTGGCATCTGTGCTCTAATTATCGTGCTCTTATTTTTAAGTGGTGAAGATTAACTTTCTTTCTGAACCTTTTCTTTCACTTCACGTTCTAGTCATGCTTGTTCTGTACCCATAATGCATTGCTGTACCAGTTTAAAGTATGCTGACCGAAGCCCTGGGCCAAAATTAGCAACAAAGTTAGCAATACTCAGCGACTATGAAACAATCTTTTCCAAGTAATCAGTACCTGAAGCGCAACCATGCGACGTGTGGAACAACTATTTTTATCCCGCTGAGATGGATATAATGTTTGTTTTTTATTTTTAACTGGTTGAATTTAGAACGTTAGCCGGAGGCCATATTGGAATCGCGCTTCAGCGTTAGCTCAGCTGACATATTGGATTCGTGGTTTTCACCACTGGAAACTTTCCGTCTTATTTTGTGCATTAGCTCCCGCTATCGTTTATTTCTGGTTAATCAGATTCATTTAAAAATTCATGTCAACTGTCTACAGAAGGAAAGTGAACAAGCTTGTTTGGCCTGTTTGTTCTTCAATTGAATGAAGCAGAAAATTTGTTAAAATCATTTTAAAAAGCTCAATTTTCAGTAGGTTTTGTAGACTTTTGAGAGCCCTTTTATGGTAAAAATTGAAGTACAGGTGAACTGGAGCCATTTTGGGGAAAACAAAAACAAGCTAAAAATTGTACACAGCAGCTGCTTTCTCTGTGGGTTTATTGTAATAACTATGCTGTTCTTCTTCAGGTGATATCCTCTCCCTCCTTTCTGCGCTGTTGAACTCTTAAAATCCTCCTTTCTGGCTTGAACTCTGAACATTCCTGCTCCCGGCCGTTTTCTGCAGCAGCGTTCGCTTTCCTCTCTCTCTCTCTGTGTCAGTGGGAAGTGTGAGACCTTACCTCTTACCTGTCCAAACGATTGTGCACTGATGTAAACGACAACGCACCACTCGTGTCGCTTGTCTTCTCTGTTTTTGCTTGCGTTTCATTGGGAGTCCCTGCGGCGTTTTTATTTTTTATTTTTTAAAGTTGTTGAACAACCGGGACTTCCTTCCAGCTCATTCCGAATGCAGGTTTTCGAAGCTATTCTCACCACGGCGTCAGTTGTCGAGTACTATAAGTGCTGCCTTAAGCGAAGGTTTAGTTTTTTTCTCACCACTTTTGTTTCTCTGGGTGGATGTTTTAAGAGAAGAGACCAAGGTTCCACTTCCTCCCTTGTAAAAATTAATATAAATAGATATATAAATATATAGACAAATATATAATATACATTTTACTCATTTCTTTGTCCAATTTTGTATATAAAACTCATGTAAAGTTTGTTTTTAAAGAGGCATCAGAGCAGCTATTAAAAGACAATATGAGTGACAGTGTTCACCTGGGAGAATTTTATGCATGTTATGTTTTCTTTTTCTCTCGGACTCTTTTAAAAAACCCTCAGACCCTCCCGCTCTCTCTCGTTAAGGTGTGTAACGTGAAAAATAAAAGAAATGTACCTTTTTCTTTGGGAATGTTGTAGACAATCAGTCTCAGGCCGGGTCCAGTCCCAGCAGGGAGTGAGAGCCCTGGAGGCTATAAGACAAACTAAACTCTCTCTTTTATTTTATTTTTTGTTTTGTTTGGTTTGTTTTTTTGTCTACTGGAAGTCCAAACTCGGAGGTTTGTTCATTCATATGTTCATGGCTGCTCTCAAGTTTACACAGAAACACACACACACCGACACACACTTCTCGACTACACTCAAAACACAAACACCTCGTGCATTTGGTCCCTCTGCTTTTTGTTTCCAAGGTGAGGATGCCAACCTTGTGGAAATGATGCTTTGACTAACAAATCTATAACATCTATGAATGTGGGAATGCAACACATTGCAATAAAAGCACCATCTGAAATGCAACACGTTGGTCTCCTGGTGTTCCTTAAATATCAGATATTATGATGTTTACGATGCATCTGCGAAAAAGCTCGGTGACGTTTTCAGTCGGTGACGTTTTCAGTCCGGAGTTTTCTAGCTTTGGATTTATAAAATATTTCAAATGGGTCTGCAAACTGAGGGCCAAAGTCATTCAGTTGAAAACAGTCACAAATATGCTTTTTTTAATTACCTATTTTATTTTCTGTCAGTGCTGCATCCAAAACTCAATGAAAAGTTAAGTGGAAGGAAAAAATAATTGGTAGAAAATACTGAGAGGTGTTTTAGACTCTTGACTTAAATTTAAAATCCAAATAACAGAAATGATTTTGTTGGGTATGTAACAAATTAACCTCTCAAATCTTTATGGACTTTTTTTTAAAGATGGTTTCCAGTAGCAGAACTAAGCAACGAAATTGAAACCTAAAAATTAAAACATTGTCTAGATTATCCAGATATTTATTTAAAACTCCATTTTAGCAGATGTTTTTTGTGCAGTTCTTGTCTTTCATGCGTATTAATTTACCTCTTTCCTTTATTTACCTGTAAAGTCCTTCAAATCACCTGTTATGTCGGTTACAAAAAGCTCAAATTAACACTTTTATTACTTAAACTTCCATAAACAGTATAAATTTTATTTCATTTACAGCGGAGTAAAAAACAGTTTATTGTAAGGAGGCTGTTGGGCTTTATGAGCAGATAGTTCAAAATAAAAAGGTACGATAAAAAGGCAAAATCTAACATTCAGCAAACATTTACTAAAGATTTAAACATGTAGGACCAGAGACATTCACAGAGATACCAATGAAATTTCAATAAAACCTATCAATTTAACTAAAAGACATTTTTATTTAACGGGAAAATATTGTGCAAAATTCACAAAATGAAAACAAAAATCTGCAATAAGTTGATGCTTTTTTTATGTCTTGAAAATGGGCCATTTCAAAACATGGTTACCTAGCAACCTGCGCAGAGACCAGCCCGTTACCTAGCAACCCAGGGGAGCTACATAATGTTTGCTCATAATAAACATAAACTAACCTGTTCAAAGGAGCATAAAGTTTCACCTTTAAAGATTATAAACATTAAAAATCAGTTTGTGATGTCAGCTTCTGATTTTAACTTAATGTTAAATTTTACATTTGTTCTGGTTTTAGCAGTGCAAAAAAAGTCCAGAAAACCAACAACAAAAGGTCTATTTAAGAAAAAGAACAAGCTTTCCAGCTCTTTATAGTTATTTAACTTTTTTTTCTGTTTCAGTTGCAGGAGTTCTGGCTCAGCAGTCAAAGAAGGAAACAATAAAACGAAAAAGCTTCTACATCCAAGTCTGACTAATGATGCCCGTTTCCTCTGCTCTGTTCTTGGGTTTCTCATAGGTGGCCTGTTCAATGGGCTGCGTGGGATTCCTGTACTCGTAGTACTCCACTATGGGGTAGGTGATCATGGTAATCACCAGGACAGCCAGCACGATGTACAGTTTAGTCTCCAGGCACAGGAAGGTGCTGTAGGCGAAGGCGATGACGAAACCAAGCGACTCCCACATGCGGTAGTTGGCGAAGGCGGCCTCCTTGTCCCGCGGGAAGAGGATGCCATAAAGAGCTGCAACAGATCAATTTGAAGGTGGACTCAGCTGTTTTTACCGTTAATCTTGTGCATGTGCAGTTGAAACCAGTTTTGTAGAAGTATGGTTGATCCTTGAGAAGAATTTCCAGATGCCTAACGGTACCACATTCATTAGTTCAGACATTTATATGCAAATCTAGACGTGATGTGAAGGTCCAACTATCAAACTGTCCAAGAAGGAGACAGGTTTTGATCAGAAATGTGCAGAGTGACCCCAGAACTGAAGCTAAAAATATAGTGAAGAATCTTTCTAAAGTTGGTCAGATGGTGTTGATATACAAATTAAAACTTGTCATATAGCAACATGCGCTGAAGAGCCGCTCCATACGGAAGAAGCCATGACTCCAAATGTTCACAGGGACAAAAATCTTCATTTTTGGGGACATGTTTTGTGGTCTGATGATACCAAAGTGAAACGTTTTGAGCTTAATGGTAAAATTTAAAGTTAGTTATTATTGTGAAACATGTCAGATTTCTACAAGTAAATGTCATTTAGGTACCAAGCAGCACAAATTATAGTTTCAGATTCAACAGCTGAAATTAGTTCGGACCAAAACAAAAGGTAGAAAACAACAAATATGTTTTGGTGAACTGCTTCTAGGTTCCTTGCAGGTGGTTTTTCCTGCTTTCCAGACATGAAAGCATCTAAGCAGAGGTTGTAGGTTTTTCTTACCATTAGTCTGAGTTTGCCAGACGGCGTCCGCCATGCCCCACAGGGCGGGAAAAACGAAGAATACGGGCAGCTGGTCAGGATGAGGCCTCCATATCAGGAGGGCGATGATGCAGGCCAGGTTGAGGGCACCAGCTGGAAACAGATGATTCCTCTGGTTACAAACATTAACCACAGGGGGCGCTACTTCAACATATTTTACTCAAATAAAAGAACAAATGAAGCTCAATTAACGATACTTCATAATAAAATAGCTCAGATAAAATGTACAGCGTGGTAAAAATACTCCTAAGAGTTTTTTTTTCTTTTTTTCCAAAAAGTTACTTAAATAAATATAACTAAGTACATGTAAGTAGTTACTTCCCAACTCTGTATATCACCGACTTTTTCTGATGAGCACAATTCCGATGTTTTCACTAAATAAAATAAAATAAAAACAAAACCAGACCTGTGCCACTTCCATATCAGCACTTATTACTGTACAAACATTTAAAATGATCCATAAACTGTTTAATCCATTATTACTTCCGTAAACATTTTGTGAGGCGAATGTTCAGCTGCTGCGCATGCGCGCCGCTTTCTAGCAGAACGGCCCCGATAAAGAACAAAATAAAGATGGGGAACAAACACCAAGACATGCTGTATGGACTTATTCTTATATAAAGAGTTTAAATACAACAAAATGAGCTTTTACCGAAGAAGAAGAGGGCGGCCCTTCCGGTGTAGCGAGCGATTCTCCCAAACAAGTAGGAGCTGAGAGAATTAGTGGCTCCGAAGCACATCATGACGTAGCCGACGAAGTGGATCCCCAACGCACACGTTACGTAGTTCTGCGAAGAGAGGCGGCAAAACGGGAACAAACTCAAAATGGCGGCAGATAGCGGCAATGTTCTGTAAGCTATTTCTACGTTTTTCGCTTCGAAGCGAAGGCTTCTGAGTAAACCCCCAAACGTATTTATACCTTTGGGGGTTTAATATTCTCACTTTATATTAATATTCTCATTTTACACCAACTGAACTTTATTGTATTTGGGGGGTCAGGTGTTACGGGACGTTATTCTTGACTGGAAGAACAAGATGCAATATGTTTAATAATAAAAATCCGAGCCTTAGAATTATATTTGTAATGTTTAAAGTACGGAAGAAGATTAGGGTCACCGAAAAAAAGAATTCTGAGATTTAATCTCAGAATTTGTTTTTTTTTTTTCGTTGGCCCTAATCCTCTTCTGAATGAAGGGGATATATGATGCAGAATTAACATTTTGCACCTTTTTGTATTTCCAATTGGGCCTCAGTTGCTTCTAAAAACAGTTCAAGCGCTTAAAAAAAGACAGCAAGCTGTTTTTTGGCTGTTTGCTGACTGGAAGATGAGCCATTCCAAAAGCCTATAATTGTTGAGTCACATTGAGCAGTGGACCATTATGTAGCAACACCAGTAATGATGCTTTCTCATTCTCGCACCAACTTAATTTTTATTTCAAGTGTCCTTACTTTGGTGTATTCCCCGGAGAGGAAGCTCTGCTCGAAGCCGCTGTACATGGTGAGCGGGATGAGCGTCAGGAGCCTCCAGTCCTTCAGCAGCCTGAACGTGGCCAGGAACGTGTGGCAGAACGGTTCCCGGTTCCCCCGAAACTGGCTGGTCTGCTGGTGGTCGATGTTGTCCAGAAATATCGATATGATGAGTATCGCTAGAACGCCAACCCCTACGGGACAACTCAGATCTGAGACTCCATTCAAAACAAATACAGGAATTTTTTGCGTGTTAATTTGCGCTTACACAATATACGCAAAAACTAACTTTTTCTCAGAATTATGCCTTTTTCTCTTTTTTTAGGTCAGCCTAATAATTTTCCATAGACATTGTTTTGAGTCGCTCTTAGAATAATTGCAAGTGTTACTTTCCATAAGCAAACACCATTTTTAATTTTTGTTTGAGGCTCTGTATGTACCATTAATGTTAGACTCACCCTACTGTTGATGCAAAGAGCGCTGTCATTCTGAAACATGAATTCTGCCTCACAATAGTAACTTGGTATAGTCGAAGTTGCTTCCAAATTCCCAGTTGATTTTACTGACTGGAAGGTTGAAATTTCCCAGTTCTAAGTACAACTGGAATGCAACAATAAAATGAAATGAAAATGTCTATGTGTGTCTCTAAAAATCAAACAAGACCAAGATAAAATCTAAGTATTTTAGGCCAGCTTACTTTTTCAAAATAATTTTGGACGATTTAAGACCTTTTCTACATGCCTGGACAACCTGCCATATTTTTTCTGCAACCAAAGGTGTTTTGTGAGGAAGAGTAAAACTCTGAAATTACCAATGTAGCAGCCGAGAAGCGTCCACACAAGCTTCTGTGCAGGTCTGCTGGAGGTGCTGTTGCTGCTGCTGGTATCAAGAGTGATTCCACAGCCGTATGCTCCACAGGTTTGTAGGATGTCCTCTGGAATGTCGGCTGGAAAAAATAAAAACATGCAAATGTTAAATACACTAAAAATAAATAGAGAAAGCAAAACCTGCAGAGATGTTGGTTTCCACTGCCTTTTAGGGCTTATTTAAGGGGAAATGTTGTCTTTGTCAATTTGCAGAGGTGAATCTAATTCAGAACAGGAAGAAAATAAAACAGGAATGTCCTTTCTGGAGAAACCAGTCAGTTAATCTTTTATAAACTGATAAGAAAGCATTTAAACCAAGATGGCAACTTTGCGTGATGAGGTTGTGGGCGTCAGAGGAAAACTTAGAATGAATACACTTATTGTCAACAGTCAGAAATGACAAAAAGCCAAGAGCAGTGGTGGGCATTGCTGGCTAAAAGGTTAATTGTGCTAAACATAAAGCAGTAATTATAAACATAGTTCTGCTAATGCTAAAGCGCTACACCAACACAGTAGTTAGGAGAAGCTGATGTTAAAGTATAGTTTGTTTGTAAGCCTTTAACTTGACTAATATGGCTGACATTAACTGGATCGTCTGCTTACAGATGCTGGCGTCCTGCCCAAAAATGAGCGACGACATCAGGTTTCCCCAAACTGCAGATGACTGGAAGATGAAGAAGAAGATCCCAAAGTAGTGGTTGACCACATCAGAACCCTTCTTATTGTCCTTGGCGGCTTGCATGTTCCCAGAGATGGTCAGGTAGGTGCATTTAGCCGACCACAGAGGGGATCCGCCCAAACCCAGGATGAAGGAGGTTGGGATGAGGGTGTACCTGCAGATAGCATCTTCATTTATCCAGACGTTGGTCACTTTGTTTTTTTGTTTTCTAAAATATGCTTTTTCTTTGAATTTAGAAGTTTGAGTCAATGAGAAAGCAGCTAGCTTGGTATGTATGCCGCTGATTAAATGACGCAAATAATTAGTGAAATGCATATGGTTGGCATATCACATAATTCTTATTTTTGATCATATTTAGCTCTGACTACTGTGAATTCCTGGTATTTGAGAGGATTAGGTACCACAGCTGCACTGCAAATACTTGAGACTTCCTCTAGAATCCCTGATAACTGACTATTTGAACAATTCAGACACCAAATATAACTTAATATGCATAAATATTTACAGTGGAAACTGTCTTAGTGCTAACATAGAAGCTAATATCTAAAATTAATATGGATTTAAAAAGTTGATTATTTAATTTAAAACAAGACACTTTTTTCACGTTATAAATTAACTTTTTCATCACTAGTAAGGAATTATTTACTTTAAACAAGCGCCTACATTTTGTTGAAAAGTTACTTTTAAGTTAGTTTTGTCTTATTTCAACTGTATCCACACATTGAAAGTAATAACAGTTCCGATTAGATTTCTTATCTTGTAAATTTGTGTGAATCTGCACAGAAAAATGAAAGACATACTATCATTTTTTGACTCAAACATCCTAAAGTTGCCATTTTTTGTTGATTTTCATAATTTTTAGAGGTTTAATCAGCCTCTTCTGGTCAGCTTGGTTTAAAAATCTTTACCATCCAGGGTAGAGGTTTCCAAAGGAGTAGGACACGTAACAGACCATTCCCGCGACGATGGTCCATTTACAGCCCAGGTTTTTGATCATGATGGGCGGCAGGAACATGGAGGAGATGATGATGGCGGCGTAGATGACGCTCAGGGATGCAACGCCCATCCCCTGCTCCGCATTCAAGCTGCTCTGCACAACACAAAAATCAAATAATAATCAGGAACCCAGGACCTTCTTGCTGCAAGGCAACAGTGCTACCAACTGTTATAAATATAAAAATTCCCAAAAAAATACAATTAAAATTCAGAAATACTTCCTTAATCCCAAAGGAAAATTTAATTTTATTAAATTAAACACATTTTTATTCGTAATGTGACAAAATATTAAGAGTATTAATAGTTTTCCATTTAAATGTGTATTTAATAAAATATCTTACTGAGCATATCAGTAATTTTTTTCTGACTCTGGTCTGAAACCACTTGGTATTTTGAACGTAAAGCAAAACTTTAAGCAAAATATTTTTTTTCAGATTAAATATAAAGATTTGTATTTTAAATAATCATAAAGTGTCACTTTCTGACATTTTTACACTTCAATTTATCCATATACTGTGACAAACATGTTTTTATTATTATTTAGCCTCAAAAATCCCTTCTTTGATAAGTGAGAATTAATAATTTTATTTTTAGCACTTTTTGAATTAAAAATCAACATTTAGCATTTATCCGCTTACCTGTAAGCTCTGCAGGCCTCCATACGCCGTAAACAGAGACAGAAATCCAATGGAGACCACCAACACATTCTTAAAGTTTCGGCTGATCATGATTGACTTTTTAAAAAAAAAAATAATAATTTTTAATAAAAATAAGACAATGAAGCTTAAAAAAAAAAAAGAAAACTAAAAAGTCCTGGTGGGGTTTAATCTAGCAGCTCTGCTCAAGAGCAAAGTCAGAGGAAGGCTGTTTATTCTGCAATGACTGTCTCTGATAAAGTCGTACAGTTAAAATAACTCAGGTTAAAGTCCAACCCTGTGTGTGTCACACACACGACACACACACCATTTAGAAGGTTTAATTCCTGCTGATTACTTATCACCAACTAAATCTGTCGTAAAAAATTTTTCTGTTTCCTTCATCTGTCTTTTATTATTGAAAATATTTCATTTCAGATCTTTAAAATCCAGATTTAACTTTCCAAACGTGTTTTTTGGTTTTATTGTTTTTTTAAAGTCGATACGTGTGGAGCAGTGAGCAAAGGTTTACAGCACGTTGATCCTTTTATGGGAACTCAGAGGTTTACAATGCAACTTGTTTACAGGAATGACACAAACTGATGTTTTTCACCAGGATCAAAGTAAAACAGACGCCAGGAAGACGCTTCGCATATCAGCTGATATGCGAAGTTTTTATATAAAACTTAGTTTTATATAAAAGGAGGAAGTTTATTAATATCACTGGTAATGTTGGGAATATAATATAGGTTTAAAACTGACTCGCATTAATAGTTATTTATGATTTAATTAACTTTGATATTTAGCTTGATAGCTGTATGTTTAGTTAGCCAACTAAATATTTTGTTTGGAGGTAATTATTTAGCTTGATGACTACATATGTAATTAACAGGCTAAATATTTAATTGACAAGCACAGTCAAATAACTTTGAAGCTAAACATTTAGCTAGCTAACCAAATGTTTAGCTTGTTAACTAAATAATTTATTTGGAGCTAAAATTAGCTTGTTTACTAGCTAATTATTTAGATATTTAACAAGCAAGCTAAATATTAGCCAAAGCTAAATATTTAATTGACAAGCTTAGTTCACCAACTTTGAAGCTAAATATTTAGCTTGCTAACAATATATCTAGTTTGTAGTGCATTATTTAGCTTGGTAGCTGTAAATTTAGTTAGCAAGCCAAATATTTTTTAGAAACAAGCTTTGAAGCAAAAAAATATTTAGCTTTCTAAGTAACTATTGGAGCTAATTATTTAGCTAAATATTCAATTGAGAAGCTTAGTTAACAAACTTTGAAGCTAAATATTTAGTTTGCTAACAAAATATTTAGCCTTCCAGCTAAATATTTTTGGTTGACAAGCTAACTACTTTGTTTGGAAGTTTAGCAAACAAGCTTTGAATCTAAATATATAACATCAGGGAATCTGTAGTCATTAAATACGTGTTCCTTGAGGAACCTCACATATTTTTATTTATGTTTTTGTTTGTTTCTTCAGATTTCTTTTGCTCAAATGACACAGCGTGCATATAAACATTCCCATTTAAGCCTTTAGATTTTATACCTTTTGTACAAAACATCCTGAATGATGCACTTTGGTCAAGCTTTCTAAACATTTTCATTGCTCACGTCTTGGTCATTTGTTTTTATGCTCTCTGTGAAACAACCAGCAGAGATGTATCTTCTCTACCAGGTTTCTTGCCCTTAATTTGACCAAACACTGAATCCTACACCAGCAACAAATGTAAATACACATAAATAAAACCCTAATACATACCAAGAACATTTTTGTAGTTAATTTAAATGACAAAAAGGTGAGAAAGAGTGACTAGTGATGTAGTCAGTGTCAATAAAACATGACTCAGCAGTGGGTATAAACCATTCCACATCATCATCAAGAGATAGTAACTAAGACAACATGTTTCACTCCTTATGTTCAAACCTGATTACTAACAAATAACTTTCCAAACAGTTTTTTTTTCCTTTTAGCCTCTGTTGTAAACTGTATATTCATTTATTTCAGGGACAAAAGCCTTAAACTGTACATCATTTCCAGTACGAGTCCTATCTGATTGAGTTTATGGATCTCCTGCCTCACCCTGTTGTTCGGAAACAATTAGGTGTGGCTGTAAAGACTTGTTTCTGATAAAAACACCTCTAGTTATCTTTTAAGATATCACAGTTAACTTAAGATAACCTACTGAAACCTGCTGCTTAAGGGATATTTTGGGTTTTACATTATGGTCATAAAAACGTATATTTTGCATTTATTACTTTATTGTAGGGAAAAATTTTTTTTTAAATTCAGCTTAGGATTAAAGTTTAGAACGTGAGCACAAAACTTAGCTTGAATTTAGTTGTGTAAATTCAAGCTACATGTTATGTCTATAGAGTCTGAATGATTTTATGTTGGAGAATTTAATTTGTACATCTATTGACCAACAGAGGGAGCCAGAGTGCATTACCAATGTCAAATCTCCTGAATTTCATCTTGTTCTTTTATTGTAAAGTGAAAAAGGTTTTACACCCTTCCACATTTTGCCTTTTCCTTTTTTCCACACTTTCAGTGCCTATATAAAGTATTAACAGCCTTGAATTTTTTACCCTTTATTGTGCTATTATAAATCAATCATTATCAACAGACTTTGTTCTCTTTTTTTTTACCAAATAAAGTAGAAAACTGCTAAAATAATGACAATTACGTTAAAATATGAAACATAAAATGTGTGATTATAAATATTCCCCTTCTTTAAGTGACATAAGTTAACATTAGTTGCATTTAAGTAGGTCTGCAACTAATAGTTATTTAAGTTTTCAACTATTATTTCAGTTATTCTGATGATTAGTCAAATAAAAAATTGAGATTTTTAATTTAACCTCTCAGCTTTTTTCCTTTTATTTATTTTTTTCAAACAATACTAGAAATACATTAAGAGGCAAAAAAACAACAACAAATAATTAAATTCCTTTTTTAAGTAAGAAAATGTAATACTATAAGACATATTTACAGACAAAAGTGTTTTTATCTTAAGTGCAAAAATATATGTACATTTTGTGCAGTTTTGACTTAACTATTGCTCTGAGTATGTTTGGATTTTTAAAGTGTATTCTCCAGTCAACAGTTAATCAATTACTAAATTAGAATATTTCAGTAATCGATTTCAATAGATTCGATTAGCCTAGGGCAGACATTGTTAAGCAATATATATCTGCGCCATCATTGGCTGGCCAGCGGTCAGTTGACCAAACCTGCTGGAACTCTGCTGGGGTTGCTAGGTAACGGGGCTGGAACTCTGCTTGGGTTGCTAGGTAACGGGGCTGGAACTCTGCTGGGGTTGCTAGGTAACGGGGCCAGAACTCTGCTTGGGTTGCTAGGTAACGGGGCCAGAACTCTGCTTGGGTTGCTAGGTAAACGGGGCCAGAACTCTGCTTGGGTTGCTAGGTAACGGGGCCGGAACTCTGCTTGGGTTGCTAGGTAACGGGGCTGGAACTCTGCTGGGGTTGCTAGGTAACGGGGCCAGAACTCTGCTGGGGTTGCTAGGTAACGGGGCCGGAACTCTGCTTGGGTTGCTAGGTAACGGCGCATTCCCCGTTGAATTTAACAGTTATCAAAACCGCAACAACAACAACAAAAACCCATGAGCTTACTGCCTAAAAAAAACTTTCTGGGACGTTTTTAGAAGAGTTGAGACCCAAATGGAATTATTAAAAACCTTCAAAATATAAAATTAGCGTAATAGGTTCCCTTTTTAGTGCAAGAACTGCACCTGGATATCACTCTGGTTGTCAGAGCAGTATCTACGGGGATTTAATTTATAAAATAATCTGTGTCAGATCTTGAATCAAGATGGAAATAATCCCCAGAATATGAAAAAATAACATTGTTAGACACTCCCTGCTTGATAAAGACTCTCTGAGCCAAAACCAGGATTCATTTTCCAGAAGTGTCGCGACTCCAGCCAAGTTTTCATAAAGTTTCACTGGAATACTTTAGGGCTGCGTTCAGATTTTTTTAACCATCGAAGGTGACTGGGTAAAAAGCAGAGCAGTCAACTAAGACAGTAAACATAAATAATCAGATCTTTTTGTTTAAAAACAAGTTTCTTTCTTTAACCTTCCTTTAAAATGACCAAACTTGGGTCAGTTCATGTTTTGATTACTTCAGAAGACGATGCGTTGACTTATGTTCACTTCCTGAACCACAACCACCGAATCCCTGACGTCAAGCCACAGTTAATGATTATAGCTATAGATATCTCCAAAACATGAAACACGTGTCCACACTGACTGACGTGCAGGTGTTACACTGTCAGACGGGCAGGTATGTCTCGACTTCCTCAATGTGAATCTGAAGCTCTGTGAGTTCAGAGGTCATCTAAAAACATGCTGCTTCAATCAGCAACAGAATCCTTCATGCAAATTACAAATAGTTTTTTTGTTTTTGCTTTTTTGTCCCTTTTAAGTGTTTCAGATCAAAATGTGACCTAAATAAACACAGAATGCGGCTAAGATGTCAAATGGCAAATAACTAAATATGTCATATTTGTTGAATAAAGTGGATTTTCGTTCATCCACTTCAGAATGCATACATTTATGCTCCATTGTACACAAAATATATTACTTGAGCGTCTTTTGGTTTGAGATGATAAATTTGACCTTTGTGCCTACCTATATTGTAAATTTAGGTATGATGCAAATTAGATCCACCAGGCATTTAAGGAATGAAACTGAATTTTCAATCTCATTATGCTTATTTTATTAATGTTCCTCTTTCTCAAGCAAGATTTTGAAGTTGTGTTTGAAAAAAACATAGCTTTTTCATAATTAGTGTTTCAAATACTGTAACTATATCCCTTGTTGTTCTTACTCCTCCTTTCCTTAAAACTGATTATGAAATCTGTTTTATAAATTGATTTTCATCTTGCAAATACTGAAAAAGATCATTTAATCTTCAGACTTGGAAACGTTTATTTCATGTTTCATCATAAAACATATTATGTAAGGGCGAGTACTTTCATAAATAATTATTTGTTCACCAATAATTAAATAGTTTTTGTAGTTTGAAGTCCTTTAGATTGAAAGTTGGATAATTGAAATACATGCACAATATGCACTCTTTTTACAATTATACCTAAATTTCACATATTACTTAATACTAATGTTATTCATCTACATTCCTTGGTTGCCTGGAGTTGCTAAAAAGCTTCAAACCAAAACTTAGATATAATT